GTACCAAGTTATGTTTCCTTCTGAGGAGCCCTTGTGTGTTTTGCCACATGGGATTTTGGTGTTCTGGCCTGGCTGTTACCTTTGGTAATAGTAAAATGGGGATATTAACATATGCAGTATAGAATTCCTATTGTTGGTGGGATTCTACTAATTATGTTTTGTTCCCAACTGATTGATTGTGAAATATTTGATAGATTCCTACCAAATATATTTATAGGAATAGTAGTAGTTAGTTTTATTTAAAAAGCAGGTAAAATTCAAGGCATAATGTATTCTGGGAGATAATAACTACATATGATTTTATATATATGTTATTTTATATGATATATTTGCCATACCTAACAGGATAGGGCACAATCCTCCAGCAGTCTGTGCATACTTTAGACACCTCTCACAAATTCAGGTATTCCCAGGGCTGTCCTCATTTCTCACCAGCTGGCTATAAACTTGGGGTCCCCATGGACTATGCTCAGGTTCAGTAATTTGCTAGAATGACTCAGAACTCAGGAAAGCCCTTATACCTATGAATACAGTGTCATAGCAAAAAGATACAAGATAGAACCAGGCAAAGGTAGATACATGTAGGGCAAGGTCTGGGAAGATTCCAGATGCAAAGCTTTTGTCCATATTACTCTTCTAGCACATGGCTGTGACAGTCAGTGCACAAAGGTATTGCTGACCAGAGATGGTCAGGATACTTTTGTCCAGAGTGTTCTCTTTCTTTTTCTTTTTCTTTTGTTTGTTTCTGTCATCCCACTCCCCCCATCCCCTTTTTTCCTCTTTTTTTTTTTTTTTTGATAGAGTTTCACTAAGTAGTCCAGGTTGGCCTAAAACTCTTGATCCTCCTGCCTCAGTCTCCTGAGTCCTGGGATTACAGGCATCTGCTTCACCCAGCAAGGTGTCCAGAATTTTTCTTTACCAGGCACTACCTATTGAATCATTGCTCATGACTCAATTTCAAGCCCCTCCCCTTATTTCCTGACTTAAAACTACAACCTTCTAATCTTATATTAGGTCTTTCTCAGTCCCCATTCTGAGTTATGTCTTAGCATACACTATCTAGACTCCTTCCCCCATTAGCTACTTCCTTAGCATAAGACCTCAGGGATGGTTAGTGGCCTAGCACTGAGCAACAAGGGCACTCCAATCACTGCTAAAGTTCCAAGGATTTAGAGTTACTGCCAGAATTATTATTACACAGTAATATAAAAATCACATGTATGATAGCTAAATATAGTAGTATATAATGTTTCATATGTACATTTTATCCTTATAATCTCCTTGTGAAGCACTTGTGCTTTTTTTTAATGTGCCATTATTTATAGGTGAGGAAAATAACATTAGAGAGGTTTAACTTATGGATTAAAACCAGTTATGTGTCTGACATGAAAATATAGGTCTGTCAGTTGGGCTTTCACATGGCTATATTAGTAATAACTGTATTGTTTATACATAACTGCCTATTTAAAAATTGTTCCCATAATATGTGGAAAGAAGACATTGTGTCATTTTTAATGCATGTTTTTCACTATGCGTATTTGTATGTATGTACAAAATCTAGATGCATATTTGACAGAAGTTGTCCTTAATTGGTTAATATGAAATAGAGGATATTTTCCTAAATCACATTTGAAACTGAAGATTTGGAAAACTTTGGCTTTATATGTTTGTATTTTTTTAAGTCCCTTAGACACTTGTAAATGCTATGTGGGAAGGGGCAAGAAAGGGTTAGGAGTGTTGATTTGTCACTGTTGACCTGTGCTGCAATAAGTGCATATTTGCTAATTGCAACTTTCTCCACATTATAGTTTATTCCTTACCCTTTTGCTACGTGTCTTTACTGTTGTCACATCTCTGATTTGCCCTCTGTTCCCCAAGTCTCAACAGAAGACATTCTATTTTGCAGCAACCATAGAAGCCATCAGAAGGAAATTCCTTCATGCCCTTCTGAGACAGAGAGGAAGACCCAAAGGCATCAGGCTGTGAGAAGTCTGTGTTGTTGGACAAAGTTTGCTGATGAAAATGTTGAATCTGTGTTGTAAATACCCCTAAGTGTTTTTCCTTAGAATAATTGAAGCTATTAGAGGTGACCCACTTGGTTGATAGCTGTCAGACCCTCCCCTTATGTCTGGCTGCCTTGAAAGGGAAGCTGTCAACACAGCATTCCCTTCTTCAGTGACTTGCAGGGTCATCATGGCAGCCCTACTGCCTTGAACATTTCATGGACACTCTTAAGAAAACACTACTATTGCTGTTAGGACCACTGTGATGATGATTGCTGCTGAAGCCACAACTTTTGCTTCAGGAGGCCTTGCTCTAGTCACAGCTGTTCTAGACAGCTAGTACTGGCTGTGGGAGATTTCACTTTGCCAGTGACAAGTCTTGATGACTTTTATATGATCCTGGTCATCTTGCAGCCATTCCCTACTTGGCGCAGGAAGGGGAAGCACTTCCCTTGGTGACTTAGCAAAAAGCCTGTGATTGTTAGAAAGACGGTGCACATTTGAGGCTTGGGATTGATGGAACTAGAATCAGTGCACAAGCCTGCTCCATCCCTTTCTGGTTGTGTAAACAGCCTGTTTCTCAACCTTCTCAGGCCAGTTCAGGAGGCTTTCATCTTAGGTACTACCCCTCTGTATTGCAACATTAAGTCCCATTGAAACCTTCTCACGAATGGAATGGTCTTTTACCGCCTACTTGACTGGAGCAGTTATTAGGCTGTTGGGGAGTGACTCTGGGGGCTATCCACCTCTGGGAACTCTAGGGCTGTAAGCCCATGGAATACTCACCACCAGGAGGTGGGGAAAGAGTACCAGAGAGCAGTTGTGAGCAAAGACTACAGAGGACTTCCAAAATGCTGAGAAGACAAGAGGTGACAAAGAATTGAGGCTGTGGAAGACTTCAAGAAGCTGAGCAGAAAAACTACAGATTTTGGATTGTGTATGAATTCCAGAGGGTTAAGAGCTGAGGGTCCCTGCTCCCAAAGCTTAGAGCTGTAATATTTGCTGATGGGTGCTGGACTCAAAGCCTAGAACAATAAGCCTCTGACTTGAGCAGCTAGGGCCATAAGTCTTTGTTTTTGAAAATCTAGAGCCATAAGCCCTTTGTTCTCAAGACCTGTAGCTCTAAACCCCTGGGTTCCAAAGTCCAGCCCTTAAACCTCTGGAGTTCAAGGTTGCCAATGCTAAAGGAGCTGCTGCTTGCCTATTCATGATTTCCTTCTGAATCGAATAAAAGAGTCCCGAGCTGTTGTAACACTTCTCAAAAGTTTATGACACTGAGTTTATCAGTTCCGGTTCCCTTGTGTTCCTTCTAATACAATAGCAGAGATGCTCTTCCTCTTGTCTAAGGTAGTTGTTGAAACCTTGTGCTAGATCCTGACCCCTCTCTTATTCTTAGGCCCCCAGGAATTTTCTCCTCACTTCAGTTTTTCCTGTTTTATTGGCTTCCCCTTGCCCCCCTTGTTGCTGTTGAAGCATGCTCAGACCTGTGATTTGATTGAAATAATGAAAAATAATTATCAGTCTCTTAATTTTTCCATAGCTAATGTTTTATCACTGTATTCCTCACATCCATTTTAGTCTTCATCCATTCCATCACCTTATACAGTCTACTTTTGCCCCACCACTTCACATTGAAAATGTTTGAATAGTGCTCAGGTGTCACCACACTGTTGCTAAAAGCACTGGACTCTTTTCAATTCTTTTTTTTCTTCTTCTTCTTGTTGGGACAGAGTCTTGCTGTACAGCTTAGGCTGGCCTCAAACTCGTGATCCTCATGCTTCATTTTCCTGAGTGCTTGAATTCCTGATGTGCATCACCATGCTGCGCTCTTTTCAAATTTTTTTTTCTTGTGGGAATGGGGTTTGAACTCTGGGCCTCATGCTTCCAAAGCAGATATCCTAGTGCTTGAGCCACAACTCCAGTCCATTTTGCTCTGTTTGTTTTGGAGATGGGGGATCTCATGAATTGTTTGCCTGGGCTGGCCTTGAACTGTGATCCTCCTGATCTCAGTATCCCAAGGAGCTAGGATTATAGGTGAGAGCCACCAGCACCCAGCTTCTTTTCAGTTCTTAATCTTGCATGGATATCTTTACATCATTTGAAATGATTTGACTTCTGTCTTCTTAGAAAGTCCCTTCCTTAATTCTTCTGATCTCATACTCACTTTTCTTCTTCTTCCTCTTCTTTTTTTTTTAATTTTTTTTAGTGGAGAATCCCAGGGTTTAAACACAGGACTCTGTGCTTCCTAGGCAGATGCCCTACCGCTTGAGCCATGCCTCCAGCCTGTTTGCTTTGATTATTTTGGAGCTAGGGTTTTGAGTTTTCCTCAGGTTGGACTGCCTGAATGAGACACATTCTTACGGACCTTTGGACAGTCTCTCCAACAGAACTTCTTGTGTAAAGTATAGTACTTTATATAGTGTAAGTGCCCAATGGAAAGCAGGATCATTGTCGTAGACGGTGGCATCGTGTAGGCAGGGTTTTCGGACTGCAGGACAGAAGACTTACTTTGGTTCTTACTCTGTTTCTAATTACCTGTGTGACCTTAGGTGAGTGCTCAAAATTCACTGCTTTTTGTTTTTGGCTTCTTTTTGGTGGTATTGGTGTTTGAATTCAAGCCTCTTGCTTGCTAGGCAGGTGTTCTACTACTTGAGTCTTGTGTCATGCTCCCAGTCCTCACTGTGGTGATTTTCTTTCTTTCTTTCTTTTTTTTGTTAATGTTAGATAATCTTTCATTTCCTTCCAACTCTGTGTTTCTAGTACAAATCTTTTTCTTCTTTTGAGTGCTGGGATTTGAACCCAGGTCCTTGCAGTGGTAAGCATGTGCTTTACCATTAAGCTATACCTGTAGCACCAGATCCCTCCCTCCCTCCTTTCTTCCCTCCCTCCCTCTCCTCTCCTTTCCATCCTCCTTCTCTCCCTTCTTATATCCTTCCTTCCCTCCCTCCCTTCCAGTGTAACCCAGGCTGGCCTCTAATTGTCCATTCTCCTACCTTAGCCTTTTAACTGCTGGAATTACAGGCATGCACCATCTCGCCCTGCCCGAGTCTTTTCTTTGTATTTCTTTCCTGGATATGGGTGACAATTACATGAGTATTTGTAATAATTTATTAAACTGTACACATTTCATATGTTTTTCTGTATGTTTTATTTTACATTGACAAAAGTCTTTAGTTTCTTACATCCTCCCATATAGCAACAGAAAATTGTAGATCAAAGACTTTAATACAGAAAGCAAAACCATAAGCTACTGGAAGAAAACAGATAAATATACATGTCAAATACCTCCAAGACCACCCCACAGGTTCAGTAATTCTCCAGGAAGACTCACAGTGCTCAGCTGCTCCTGTAGCAATACCTGGGAAAATACCTTTTCCCAGGCATATGGGGTGAGGTCTAGGGAAAACCAGGTGCAAGCTTCCAAGAATCATCTCCTGCTAGAGTCACACAGGACTGACTTTTAACTCCTGTAGCAACAGGTTTTGACAAAAAATGTGAAATGTTTTCAACCAGTGATACCCATTAGAGACTTAGGGCCCAAAGTTTTTATTTGGAGCTAGTCATGTTGGCACCTTTGCCTAAAATGTACCAAAATCCTTCCAGAAGGAAAGCTAATGTTCAGCATAAAGCATATTGTTTGTACAAATGGTTCAGCATACTGAGCCACTCTTAGCAGTTCTGGGAGTGGGGAGACCTGTCCTCAAATCCAGCGTCCCAGATGGCAGCCTCAGGTTTGCTATGTTAACTCTTTCTGTACAGTGTAATATTTTTTGTAATCTTGCAATGTAGAAGGCCTTCTAAGCATCACTAGGAAACTAAAAAAGAAAGGAATAGTGATTTAACTGTATTAAAAAAACTTAGATATGGAAAAGAAAAAAAGGTGCTATTGAGAGTAAGAAGGCAAATTAGGAAAAAGTATTTGTAACATATAAGAGGAAAAGTGAAGATTTTTTCCTAACATAAAAATTCTTACAAATCAGCAACTAAGCTGGGCATAGTGGTGCACACCTGTAATCCTCGTGCTCTGGAGACTGAGGCAGAAAGAGGGTAAGTTGAGACTTACCTGGGCTACAATGCAACATCCTATCTCAAAAAAAAAAAAATCAAACAACGAAAACAAATCAGAAAGTAGTAGAGCACTTGAGGCCCTGGGTTCAATTCCCAGCACTGCAAAATAAAAACAAGTCAATAACTAAAAGGAATAATGGGGTAATTTGCTAATGAAGATATTTAAAGTGACACCTAAATGCTTGAAAAGATACTTTACCTCAGTAGGAAAAACAGATAAAAGTAAGAACATCTGTCATACACCTGTCATATTCAGCTAGGATTGATGAAATACAATCTTCATAACATTGATTACTTAGTATAGGAGAAGGGATCAAGAAATTGGTACTATGTACAGATATATGCATCTAGTGGCATAAATAGCCTTTTTGAAGGGCATTTTTCCAAAATCAGTTTAACTAGGTGACATTTCTACCCTTTGACTCAACAGGTCCATTTCTACGATTTTAGCTTACAGAAACCCATATGTGCAGACCAGATACAAATGGATAATGGTGTTCTTTGAAGTGTTATTTAGGTAGGATTATAAAATTGGTAATGACGCAAATAGAGGGTTAGTTAATTAGAATTTTCTACTTCCTTAGACTGCAGGGCTATTTAAACTATGTATTGTATAGAATACTTTTGTAAAATCTGAAAAGTTCTGAGATGTTGCTTTGAAAATTTCAGATAAAGAATTAATATTAATTAAAATAACTGAATTAGCATTGTCATGGCCCAGTTTTGGGGTTATGTAGTGCTGGTATATGACTAGGAAAAAAGATAGTTCAGAAATATTTTGTGCATTAAACCATGATAATCTGAAGAAAGTAGTAATTTCTCCAATTATCTCATAAGTGCAGTTGATATGAGTTTGAATAGATAAGTAATATCAAAAATGTGGGGAAGACAGAATGTGCTCCTAATTTGCAAGTGTTGTTTGTCCTGTTAAGCTTTTTCCGTGATGACCTGGAGAATATCAGTTCCTACACCTAAAAACAGTCCTTAGGAAACATGAGTTTTAGAGTTCCTTTGATCTTCAGAACTTAGTGTTCCATCCCTTCTTGTTTCTGAATAGATCCTTTTGAGCTCCTTGTCTGATTTTGTTGCTATAATAGTATACTTGAGAGTGGGTAATTTGTAATGAAAAATTAATTTTTTTATAGTTTTGAAAGCTGGGAAGTCCAGGATTGATGGTCCTGCAACTAGTGAGGGTGCTTGTATTACATCAGCTCATGTGGAAGGAGGAAAGGGCTAACTCTCTCCTGGGATAGCAGAGCCCTCGTGACGTAATCACCTCTCATGCGGCTCCATCTCCCGATACTGTTGTTTTGTTGTCTGCGGTTCTAACACAGACCTTTAGGTATATATTCAAACCATAGCAGAGTCCTAAGCCTAATTTGGTTATTTCACTTGCAGTGCTGAGGGTGAAAGACAGAGTTCATATTCCTTCTGTGCCTTTGGAACAGGATTGAGGGACCATACTGGTCCTCTAAAACTTTGTTGTTTACTTTTCTAACTTTCACATGACAGTTGGTAATATCTGTACATGTTGAAATTTATTCATTTTTATGAAGCTTGGTCATGATTGAGTTGTCTTTATTTGGCAGAGTCTCACAACGTAGCTTAGACTGGTCTCAAATTCTCAATCTTCCTGCCTCAGCCTCCCAAGTGCTGGGATTACAGGTGTATACCACCACACCTGACTTGATTATCTTTTATTTAAAGTACAGTTGTAGCTCTAAAGATGACCTAGGAGGGTTACATGGATCTTCCTCATTGGATGTGAAAGCTTTAGCTCAGCATGATTCAGACACCCCCTGCCCCCACCACACACTTGATGTTTGCTATCTTTCTTTCCATGCCTACTTTCCCTTCTATCTAACTTTATCGTAGTTAGGATGTTACACTTAGCTTTGTGTGAGAGAGCAGAAAGTGTTAGTATTTTACAGGCGGTACATTGGAAGCACCCAAATAATTGTATGAAAAATGAAAGGGACCGGGATATCCCCTCCATTTCTTTAACTCAGTGTATTTATGAAGACTTTGTTCCTTCATCCATAGAAAAGTTCTTTTACGAGTTCTGTAGTTCAAATGTGTAGGCAATTTCCACTGCCTAAGAGCTTCAAGGCACTAAGGCATATGCCTTTTACTGCAGCTTCCACAAATATTGTGGGTTGGATTCACCATTCCTAAGAACTTTTACAACAATACTCGATGTTTATCCAATAAAATTACTTGGTCTCATAATCTGAAGCTGCCTGCCTGCCTATCTTCCTTGTTCTTTTCATCTTTTATTACTAATTCCTTAAATTGAACTTAACACGACTGTTGGGAGTATCACTAGTTTTTCCATCAATGTTCTCTTTTTCTCTGCAGGATGCTATTCATGTCTTCCCGGAATCTTCTCGTCTGGGACAGTGTTTTAGTCTGTTATTTTTCATGATCTTGAAAGTCTTGAGTTACTGGCCAGGTGGCCTATAGAATGTCTGTCAATTTGAGTTTTTCCATTCTTTACTCATAATTAGACTGGAGTCATGGGTTTAAAATGCCTTCCTTGTTGTATCGTATTAGGAGTACATGGTATTCACATGATGTCTCTGATGGTATTAACCTTCATCATTAGGTTAAGACAGCGTATTTTTAGGTATTTCCACTTGAAGTTAACATTTTCCGCTGTCTGTTCTTTGTAAGGAGTCACTAAATATATTCTTCCCTGAAGAGGGGAAAAGCTCCATCTCCTACAGAGAGAGGTACCCACACATGTAATTTTGAGTTCTTCCATAAGAGACTTACTTTTGCCCCCAATGTGTTTAATCATTTAGTCACTTTCTTATATCAGTATGGACCCATGTAGATTTCCACTTTGGCTTTTAATTCAGTACTGTGTTATTTCATTCCTTCAGTTCATCCAGCTTTGGCCGTTAGGAGCTCCTTCAGGTTGGATCCTGTATCCCTTTGACATTTCCATGCCACTTCGTACTACAAGATGTTTCAGGCTTATCTTGGTTTTTTTTTTTTTTTTTCCTGTCTCAAGCCCTAAGATTGCCATTTTCTTAAGATGTCTGGTTCTTTTTACTACAGAATGGTATTTAAAAACAAGATTGGTGCTGGGTTGCTTGTGGCTACTAGGGTCTTGGTGCTTTTGGTCCTTTCAGGACAGATGGATCAGTCCTTCTGTCTTCTTTTAGAAGAATATTATGGGACTTTTGAGGCAAACACAAAAGTAATTCTCAATATCTATCATGAAACTTGAATAATTATCAATCATTGGCCAGTCTTTTCTTTCTTTTATAGATCCCTTTCTTGACTACACATCCACCTATTATTTGAAATAAATCCCAGTAACTGTATTAGTTCACCTACACATATTTCAGTTTATCTCTAAAAAGTAAAGACTTCTTTATAAATGTATTCTTAAATCGAGGTATAGTAAGTACAGTTCAAAGTGTAGAACTTGATGAATTTTTATAAATGTATATAGGTAAGTGTTATGCAAATCAAGACACAGAATAGCCCCTTTGAAGGCAACCTCATTGCCATTAATAATTTTTGTAAGAGCCTTTAAAAAAAAACAAAACCTAAACACAATAGCATTATAGCACCTAATTTTTTTTCCCAGTACTGGGGATTAAACCTAGGGCTTCATACATGCCAACAGCACCTAAAAATTTAACTACAGTTCCTTACAAATCAATTATGTAGGTGTTTGTTTAGGTTCCTCCGCTCTCATCTTCTTCTCTGCCATGCAGTGCATTAACTAAAGATACAGAGTTGCTTGCTCTGTAGTTTATAACAATTTGGGTTTTACTGAGTGCACACTCATGGTCTCACCTAACCTGTTTCTCACAGTAGCTTTCTTGAGGGGAACTTTTTCTAGCTCAGTAGCCCCAACACAGTAATGGACAGTGATTCTATCTCTGCAGATATTTCATCAGTAAGATGGTTTCATCAAAGATCTGTGGTGCCTGGTATCTGATTGAAGTTCCTTTCCCTTGCTTTGCTAGGCAGGTCTAGAGAGTTCTTTAAAAATCTTGCGTCCTTTCTAACAGTCAGGTCCTTTGGAAAAACTGAGTAACTGTATGGAGGAGAGAGTTTCATTACTCTTGGCTTTATTTTCCTTCTCTCTTTAAGACTGACCAGAACAGTTGTAAGATAGCACAGTTAGGTAGGATATCTTTTTAGTGTTCCTTCCTGTCAGAATCATCTGTGTACAGGGTTAAGCTAACTGGTTAAAGTTCCAGCTTAAGAATCTACATTATAGAATAAAGGAGTAAGGTAAAAAATTGTCTTACTGTATTTGATTTTCCAAGTTCTCTTTTTGTTTTCTTTTTGTATTATAGATCAGCTTGAACGGGTCTTTTTACGACTTGGCCATGCTGAAACAGATGAACAGTTACAAAATATTATATCTAAATTCCTTCCTCCTGTTTTGCTCAAACTGTCCAGCACCCAAGAAGGAGTACGGAAAAAGGTAAGCGATATGCTGGGAGTGTTGGGAGAATTAATTGGTGAATAAATACGTACATATTATGAAGTGAGTTTTTTTTGTTCCTATTGTTGAAATCTAGGTCCATAATCCTAATTATGGTCTTTCAAAATAGATAAGTCTAGAACCAGCTTTCATGATTTAAAAGTAGTTTATGTGTTAACACAGCTGCATTTAGCACCAACCATATACTTGTCATCAGTGTCAGATAACATAATTGAGACAATTATTGTGGACTATATGCAGACCTGATCTAAAATCAATGTGAAAGTGACAGAGGTAAGGGGGCAAAGTCACCATTGGCCAATGGTGAATAGAATCTTAACTAAAACTTAACAAAGTTATTCTTAAAAGCAGAATATTGTTGTACAGGTTCTGTCTTAAGTTCTGCAAAGTACCGTTTCAAAAAGCTAGGCCACGTCATTTTTTTTGGTGATGGTTGGATTTTAGGTCAGGGCCTTCAGCATGGCTGCCACTTAAGCCATGCTCGATATTTTCAGCCTCAATATGTTATGTTTTAAAGTAGTTGTTCTACATGGGACATTTTCCTCCTGTGATTTGTAACACAGCTCGTTAGTATTCTTGTGGTGTGTTTATAATACTGCTCTGCTAAAAGCTGCTTTTAGCTATCATCAGGTTTCGTTTTTTGGGGTACTCTAATTAGGTGGTAGTAACTTCCTGGAGGTCTGTCTTGAGAGGGATTCTGAGGCCTGATTTGAGTTCAGTCGGGGAAAGAGTATCTTAGAACATCTGTTACATTTTCAGGAGGGAATGACATTCTTGTCATATATTTGTCATGCCTGCTGTTAATCCTTCTTTACTGAGATAGATGTGTATTTGGTCATGTCATTCTCCTATTTAAAACTCTTCCACGGCCTTCTCTTACCCTCAGGATAGCAATGCCTAAATGAGTTGTTGTCTGTTTACTTAGTTTTATCAGTTCGGTGTGCCATGTGTTAGGGGAGTGCTAGTGAATGAGAGAAACACTTACCCCAGAGAGACCAATATTAATCAGGTAAATAGTCATAGTTATAATTTATAATATATGCTAAGATGGAAACAAAGAATTAAATGAAAGAATGCATTTGAAGGCATGATGTAGCTGGAAGGGAGGCTTCTTGGTGTATAGGAAAGAGGCAGGCTGAGAGATTGGGGAGACCAGTAAAGACAGAGACTCGGTACAGAAGTTCTGAGCTAGGACAGAGTGTAATACCTTTAAGGGAACTGAAGAAGGCCACAGTGATTCCCACAGTGGGTGAGATGAAGAAGGATAGGAGGAAATCTAGAGTGTAGGGGGCACCGATTTGCAGTGGTATAGATAGTGACAGTTAACCTGGCTGCTGGTGTGAAGCCACAAGAGGACGGTCCAGAAGAGAAAGTAGAGAACCTGTGTATGCAGACTACTTTCAGTAGGGTTTTTTTTTTTTTTAAGAACTCATTTACTTATTCTAGGATATTATATTTCTTTGCATTTTATTTTACTTTCATTGTAGAAAACTATCCATCTTCAATTATCTCTTTAAAATTTAAATTTTAGGTTACTATGTATTGTATTATCATTCTTCTAAATGCAGAAATTCCATTCTTTCCAATTTTATTAATACTAGCAGATTTATATTTTATTTAATTTTTTTATGGTGTTGGGTATTAACCCAGGGGCTAAGCATGCTACCACTGAGCTATATCTCCTGCCCAAGTTTAAACTTTTTTATGGGGCATTTAAAAAGGTAAGCCAGCTTTTACATTCATTTTACTTTGTTATGTGTATTATTTTCCTGTTTTTATTCAAATTACTTCCCTTTTCTTCTCATATATGATTTTAATTTATATAGTAATATAGTAATGGTTCTTAAGTATCAAGAAAAGTGCTAAGGGGCTGTATGTTTACAAGATAATGTAAGGCAGATTTTTTCTACATTTTAACATGTGAAGCCGAGGTTTGGAATAATGGATGAACTTGTATAAGACCAGATTGCAAGTGTGAGCTTCAAAATGTAAGCTTGGCCACCAAGTTAAATATTTTTTCTTTAATTATAGTATATATATATATTTTTAAAAAGCTCAGAACCAACAACAAGCTCAGTTTATGAGTTTGTCTTTGATTCATATTTTGGTTATTTCCTCTAGTTACATTGATAGGTAGTGTTTGGTTTTACTTTTGAGTTAATTAATTACTAATTTGTAAGAGCATTGTTTTTCATTTAAAAATATTTGATATAAAATTTGCCTGGCTTTACTGCATTCTGGTCTGACATCTGCTGTGTGAAAGGTGGTACTGGGATCAACCCAGAGTCTTGCCCATGCTCAGCACATGCTCTGTTACTGAGTTACATCTCCAGTCCTAAGATATATTTAATACTCACAAGAAAAACCTTTCCTAAGATTAGAAAAAAATTCTTGTTTCTGGGACTGACCTCAGTATGTTCTGAGGTGGTTACTCATTGGTAACATTGTATGTTTATTTCTTGAGAACCTGTCTTCCAGTCCTGTTGTATATTGGTAGTATGATTTATAATCTGCTTTTATTACAGCTTTCTTTTATGTTTTTGTAATTTTGGCTCGAAGTACTTCAATGTACAAGTTTAACATCTTTTATTAGTAATTACAGTATGTAATATATGTATTTTTCTGTTGAAAGAGGGGTTTGCTGTTAAAGAAATTTGAAAACATGTAGAATAAGGGAATGAGGTCTAATAATCAAAACACAATATATTTTGAGCTATATTGTGCTAGACTCTTGGTATCTTTTCATTAATCTTCATAGTTGCCTTTGAAATATTATTGTTTGAGTTCTGCAAATGGGACAGTGATCATGACATTAACAGTAATAGTTCAAAACTGTGGATGATCATGTGGATGTTATTTCAGTTCATTTTAACGACTCTATGAGGAATAGGTACTCTTATTCCAGTTTCATAGATGGGAAACAAAGACGTAGAGAACATAAATAATTTGTCTTTATGCCCCGTGACTAAAGATGTACTTTACAGATTTAATTGAAAAAGTGAGCAGGTTTCTTTCAGACACTGCTTCTATGTAAGGCAAAACATGTTCATTTGTTTATGTGTGAAAGTAAATTCACTACATAAAAGACCAGTGAATGAAAGTAGATAGAGAATAAAAGAATGACTTTGAAAGCAGTAACATAATTTTTCTTATGTGTTGTTTTGTCTCTAAATAGTGGACTCTTGATAGACATTTCATTTTTATTTATTTCCAAGTATATCTACTTGGTCAGACTTGTATAATTTGCATATGTCATATACTAATATCACTTGCAAGTTATAGAACCAGTGTAACAATTGGCACTCTGAGTGTTACGTCATTGTTAATAAACAAAGGCTATAGTTATGAGCACAGATTTAGAATGCAGTTCTTTCTCCTTTTCTACTATATTAAAAAGAGTGTAAAATGACAGTAAATACTTTTTAATGAGCTCATTTGTACACAGTCTCAATATGTAATTTTTTCCTTCAGTACTGGGGATTGAACTAAGGACATTCTGCATGTTTGGCAGCCACTCTACCACTGAGCAATGCCCATCTCATGTAAAGTTTTATAATTGATGAAACTAGAATTAATTGTGCTGTATTTTATCTATTTACTTTTAGTTAAGAAAATTTTGAGTCCTTACTACCAGTTTCATAATACATGTTAGATTTAACCAAGATATTATATAAGATAACCGGCAACTTATGGATAAATTGGGTGCAAGAGAAGTAAGTTTTAGATTTCTACTGACAGATGGTGAGTGTACATTTCCTGTTTAAAAGAAAATGAGGTTTGTTATGCAGAATTCTACTTTATGTAACTTTTCGTATTCAGACTCATCAGATTAGCTCAAAATTAAAGCTTGACCGTACTCAATGTTGGCAAGACACTTGTAGCTTTTATATACTGCTGGTAGGAGTATAAATTAGCATAATCACTTTGGAAAACTGTTTGAAAATACTTATTAAAGCTGAGCATACGTACACTCACTCCATGATCAAACATTTCTAGTCCTGGTTTAAATACAGCAGAAGTATGTACATATGTATGTCAAAGGACTCACCAAGAATGATGCTCATTCCAGCGTTGTTCATAGTAGACCCAAGATGGAAAAAAATCTCATGTTTATCAATATTAGAGCAATGAAAGTGAGCTACTACATGGAAGACTCTGAAATACAATGTAGAATGAAAACAGTCCCAGACACGTGATCATCTTATATGATTCCATTTATCCACATTTAAAAATGGTGAGGCTGGAGGAGTAGCTCAAGTGGTAGAGTGCCTGCCTAGCAAGCATGAGGCCCCGAGTTCAATTCCCAGTGCCGCCAAAAAAAAAATTTTTTTTTGTGTTAGAATTCAGGATAGTGGTTTCCTTTAGGGAAGAGGAGTGGGAGGGGGCTTGCGTATAGGGCTTTTAGGATTCTGGTAGTTAGGTAAATGTATTCATTTTTTGAAAATTTTTGAGTTACATGCTGTCAATTATGCACTTTAGGTATGTATTATATTTCATTAAAAAAGTTTAGGTTAATAACCCCCCAAATGAATGAGTAATAAAACTAATGGACAAACTACAGTATACCAGAGGCTGACACTACTGTAATCTTACTGATAGAGGTTAACTCTTCTTTATTTAGTGAAGACAAAGGATTCCTTCAGCTGATCTCTTGAGTTTTTGGATTTCTAGAGGATTCTTTGTTAGCAATGGATAACCAGTTTAGAAAATTCATCAGTATTTGAAGTGCTACTATTGCTAGAGGATGTTTAAGTAGTTAATCAATTTAAAATACAAAATAAAATTATTATAAATTTGAGAAAACATGTAATTGTGGACATGGTTTATCTACCATCAATAATAATTTTCCAAGGACTCCTTCCAAGAACCAGCCTCGATTAACATGTAGAGAGGGTTTTTCCTTTAGCCTGGTTCTTCCTGATTTCTCCTGTCATCTAGCTGTTTCAGAGATCAGGATCAGGTAGGAAGTTTGGATGAAGTATGAGTGGTAATGCAAGTTTCTAGGTTCCTGTAAGGTATCTTGTCATTTAATGTAGCTGACTCTAGCTTAAATATCAGTGTTTGAAAAGATTAAGATGCTCTATAGTTATATTTTGGTTTTCCCACTAGCTGGCTTATTATCTTAGGACAAGTTACTTTACTTCCTTGAGGCCTCTACTTCCTCTTATGTAAAATGAGAATGATAACATCACCCACTGGTTGTTATGAGAATAATATTAGACAAGGAACCTACAGTGCTGTGCACAAATATGGAATGCATTAAAAAACTACTTGATAAATGTTAACTGTATTATTGTTACTGTTATTACTATCATTTTGGAACTCCTCTGTACTGGGGCATTGTGCTTTCTAGACAAGTGCTAATTTTATTATTTTATCATTAGTTTTCTAAACATTGATTATAGGTGTGTTTTTATTCTTAATCATAATTCTCCTGTTTTATTATTCCTCTAGATTCTTTAGAACTTTTGCACATCCTTATAGCTTTCATTAATGCTTGCACACATTTCAGAAATGATAGCGAATAATGTAGACTTGGCTCTCCAGAATAGTTATCTTAAAATCTTGAGTCTTGCTTAGATGAGACTTCTTAAAAATCTTACTTCTTGATGCACAGTTTGTTTTCTCTTAGCATACAGTCTGTGGAGTAAGATTGAGACTGTTTATGGTAAGCCTTTATACCTCTCTTCCCATCTATGGGAATCATTGATGGATGTGTTGATTCCTCTTTTTGCTTTCCTTTTTCACTTAACAGAGGGGAAGTTTGTTATTTCTTTCTTAAATTTTTTAGTAGTATCAGATGATCTCTGGAATAAAGTAAAATGCTTCAGTGTTTTTTTGGGCCAAAATCCTTTTATAATTCAGGATTATAAAAGTTGTTCTGGGCTTCATACCTATAACTGATTCTCTGCTTGGAATTCAGCTGACCTCTAGGGGCCAGTGTCCTGTCACTTCTTTCCTGAAGTGCCCCTTGGTTTAGCAGACCAGTTGGAACTGGAAACCAATAGGATCTTACATTTCTCTTTTTATGGTCTATGCATGATGCAAGACTGATAATACATACTAGCTTTCTGAGATGTTAACTTTACATTCTTTAAGAGAACAAGGGACTGGGCACGATGATTCACACCTGTAATCCCAGTTACTCAGGATGTGGAGGTAGGAGGATCCTGGTCCAAAATTGTCTTGGGCAAAAGCCTGAGACTATCTGAAACACTAAAGCAAAAATGAGTAGAGGTGTGGTTCAAAGTGGTAGCCCACTTGCCTAGGAGGCACAAGACCCTGAGTTCAAACCCCAGTGCAATAACAACAACAATGACGACAACAAAGGTAGTTCACTAAAATAAGTATTATCTGAGAAATGAATTTGTTTTTAAGATATGATTGATAACTTCTGTCTCTATTTTAGGTAATGGAACTGCTGGTCCATTTGAATAAGCGTATAAAGAGCCGCCCCAAAATACAACTCCCAGTAGAGACACTGCTGGTTCAGTACCAGGACCCTGCTGCAGTTTCCTTTGTCACAGTAAGTGTTCTTTTGGAATATTTTCTTAATGTTTATTCAGTGTCATCAGTGTATTGGCAAGCTTAGAATTCCACCTTAGATCATTACTAAGTGAAACTCAGCATGTTTTCTCTAAATGATACCACTGTTTTCTCAATGAGTACTATCCAAGGGAAATACTATTTTAAAGGAAATGGTAGGAACAAGGCAATGATAGCAGTTTACACTGGGCAAGGAATGCTGGTGGGATGACTTGTCAGATATGTCCATATAAAAGAGAATGATCTTATTCACATAGAATCTGAAAGAGTAGAATAGTGCATCCTAGAGGCTGGGGAGAAGAGGGGGAGAAAAGAATGGGGAAAGATGGATTAGTGGGTATTAAGTTACAGTTAGAAAGGAGCAAAAATTTCTGTGCTATTGCACAGCAGGGTGAGTTATAGATAACAGTAATGTACTGTACATTTCAAAAGTTTGAAGTGCCAAGTATAGTGGTATGTACCTGTAGTCCTATCTACTTGGGAAACTGATGTAGAAGTCTCACTTGAACTCAGGAGTTCAATATTGGCCTGGGCAGCATAGCAAGTCCCTCTCTTAAAAATCAACAACAACAAAAGCCAAAACAAACAAACAGGTAAAAACTTAGAAAAAGCTAGAAGAAAGGATTTTAAAGGTTTTGCCATGAAGAAATAACTGTTTGAGAAGATACGCTAACCTAATTTAAATAGTATCCTGCACATGTATCAAAACACCACGTTACTGCATTGATATGTACATTTTCTACTTAGTGGTTTAAAATAAAGTTCAGTTACAAGATGACTAGATTCTTAGTAAGAGACAATAGCTAAATCTGAATAGAGAAAAAGGTTATGTAGCATAGGCTTGAATAAAAGGATAATAAGAGGAAAAAGGAATACAATGGCAAGAAGACATGAAAGGTTGAAAGAAAAAAACCTGTTTCTGATGTGTGGACTCAGGTATCCTTTTCAAAAGTGGAGTAAATCTGAGGCTGCTAAACATTCCTGTTAAATCGTCATCTTCATGAACATGAAGTGTAAAATGTGTTGATGCATTGTAGAAGACAGGTGATGTTCCTTTCCTGGTCCTTGTAGTTCCTAGCATTGAGGCAGAATGTATTAAATCTTATTTAACATCATGAGTCACACAACTTTTGGAGGCCTTTAGTGGTCTAGACATCTTGCCTGTGCCTGTTCTGGGCATAGAGCTACATTACAGATATCCCTTTCTTTAAGCAAACAGAAACACTGTGTGCCAGTAAACATGCCAAATAGAAGGTATTTAAAGTGATAATCTCAGGCAGCCTGTTTTTGAATCCTTCAAAATAGCAAATCTTTATCTTATGTGTAAATCTAGATTTGCATTCATAGCCTTGCTTCAAATGTGGCTTTTGTGTAGATTATAGAGATTCAGACATACCCAAGAACTCAGCTTCCCCTGACTCATCATCCACTGCTGAGTTATTAGAGCGAGGAACCACAGAATGCTGCAGTATGCTAAGGTTATTTGAGTAATTGACCAATTGGGAAAGGAAATGAAAGCTAAGGATTTGTTAACACACTGTCTTCTCCAAGCATGGAATGATTACTGCAGCAAGCTGGGTGATATGAGGCTAATTGTGGTGTGGAGCTTTAGATAGGTTAGATGATAATTTTTTTCTTCTTAGTGATAAGTAATTACCCATGAGTGTTTTAGGTTAGGTTGTCTTTCTTGCAAAAGCCCACTTTAGAGGTAAGCAGTTTGAATAATTTAGACTTGAAATTTTCCTCTGTAATACAGTAGTTGGTCAAGCTGTAATATAATGTTTTTGTTATAACTGTATCTCCCTATCAGTATGTTTTTGGTAAAATTATGGAGTATTTCCTTCACGCTCATGTGCTTTTCTCTCATTGCATTAGAATTTTACTATAATTTATGTTAAAATGGGCTATCCTCGCCTGCCAGTGGAAAAACAATGTGAATTGGCCCCTACGCTTCTTACTGCCATGGAAGGGAAGCCTCAGCCACAGCAGGATAGGTATGGCTTGTTCATTTACCTTATTTCTCACCTGTAAGAGTCAACAATTAACCTTTCAAAAGCAGGTTCACATTTCGTTTCACTTGGCAGGTGGGAAGACTTGAGCTCTTTAAGTTGACCGATGGTCGAATTTTCTGTGGTGCCTCAAAGTTGCTATTTTATTAATACTATTAAAAATTTCTTGATGTAAACATCAAATAATGTACAAGACTAGCATTTTAAAAAATCTAAATGCATTACTTTTTTTGGTCAACCTTCTACTTTCTCTCCCCCCAATACTGGGGTTTGAACTCAGGGTCTTGTGCTTAGTAGGCAGGTGCTTTTCCACTTGAGCCACATATCCAACCCTTTTTAAGCAGTTTATTTTATGTGGTAGCAAAGCTTAAAAATCCTTCTTGGGGCTTGGCGTGGTATCTCAAACCTGTAATCTTAGTTACTTGGGAGATAGAAATTGGGAGGCTCATGGTTTGAGGCCAGCCAAGGCAGAAAGTTTATGAAACCCCATCTCAACCAATGGCTGGACAAGGTGGTGTGTGCCTGTCATCGCAGCTGTGCCAGGAACTACAAATAAAAGGTTTGTGGTCCAGGCTTGCCCTGGGATAAAGCAAGACCCTATTTCAAAAATAACTAAAGTGAAAAGGGCTGGTGGCACGGCTAACATGGTAAAGTACTTGCCTAACAAGCATGAAACCCTCAGTTCATCCCCAAGAACTGCAAACAAACAAGAATCCTTTTCACCAAAACAGTTCTATGTTGGAAGATAAAAAGTTTTGGAGCAGTTTTCATAGAAAGAGCACTTGTTTGTTTTAATATGGGCATTGGAGAGGTGGAAAAGTTTAGATAACATCATTCATTTCTAGATTTAGCCAAAAGATCTGGTATTTTATTCCTGTCATAATGAGTTACTATAAAAAGAGTTCAGAAGTTGTCGAGGAATGATAGAGTTAAACGATGCTTTCAGTTCAGATTGATTGATTGGGTGATTGTGGTGCTAGGGATTGAACTGAGGGCCTCATGAGGCCTGTATTAAAGACTGTAATACAGATTTTTATGAATAAAATTAATAATTATCACAAGCAGTTTGAAATTGTTTTCATGTGTTTTAAGACTATCAAAAGGTACTAGTAAAAAAAGGAATTGTTAAAGCTATGTTACTTAAATTCAGAGTGGATATTTGATACTGTGTTCAAAATATTGATATTATTTAAAATGTTTTGAAGTCATTTCATTTTAAAGAAAATTTTTAACGAAAGGATATGTTATAAGTTGAGATTTAATATAAAATCTTTTTTGGTAACTTTAGATATTAACATTAAGCTTATTTTATGCACATTTTTTCCAGATGTTTTTAGTGATGAGTCAGGTTGGCTCAATGTCAATTATCACTCAATATACTGACCTTTCTAGAAGAAAGAAATCAAGGCCAGTGTATAGATTAGACTTTATGCGTTAGTGGTGCTGGAAATGAATGGCTCTTAGTAGAACTGCCCATTTTTGTCATGTGATTTTAGTTTTGTCTGTTATTTGCATGTATAAAAACCTTATTTTTTAAGTAGTTGCAATAAATGTAATTGTTTTTTCAGCTTAATGCATCTTTTAATACCAACCCTTTTTCACATGAAATACCCTGTCGAATCATCAAAATCAGCTTCTCCGTTTAATCTTGCTGAGAAACCAAAGACTGTGCAGCTGCTTTTGGACTTCATGCTAGATGTCCTTTTGATGCCTTATGGGTGAGTTAAAAAATAAAAACAAAACTAAGCAACCTTGTTCTCGACTATTTACCTGTGTGGAAGTTAAGCACTGTTTTAAATGATTCAGCTTTTATTTGTAAATGGATGCATCTCAGAGTTTTTTTGCTGCAATTCCAACCTCCTTTAAATTTTAGTTCCACTGCTCATTGTGTTATAGTTGCCAGATAGCTTTGTGAGTTCACTAAGCCTATCCAAGCACTTTTTAAATGCTCTGATGATTTTCCTAGTCACCTTGCTGCACAATTAATCATATCCGGCTTTTCCTTCTGCCCTATCAGTTCTGTAACAGCTTCTATCTCCTTAATGTCCTGAAATCATCTTTGAAAGAGCAAAGAGTTGGCTCTTTCCAACTTGTCACAATTTCTTTCTCATCTTTTCTTCAAGCCTTTCTACACTGCTGTAGAGTTTCCTGATTTTTAAAACAGGTTTTAATCAGGTCACACCTAAAAGCGTTGGGTTCTCATTTTCTAGTTGCTGAATAGGCTCATATATGTAATGTGCTCTTATGTGTCTTTGCCTTCTTGTTTTTAAAGAGAATGCTGTTCTTTATAAAAAGTTATGTTGAAGAACATTACAGGTCAACTCTGTTTGTCTCTGATAGAAATTTCTTACCCTAGGCAGATACTTGCCCTACCTTCCATATCTTCATAACAAAACATCTACCTGTGGCCACTTTGTGTTTGTATCACATTGGTGACATTTCCCTCTCAACTAATAGACTGTCAGCTCCTTGTAATCAAGGTGTACATTGTCTGATTTTTGAACCTGGCCTGGCACCCAGGTTGTGGTCTGCTGCCAGGGACAGTTTTCTAAACTGCTTTCATCAAGTTTTCCCCAGATCACTAGTATACACATGTACGGTAAGCTCTGCATGAGGGGCCACATATTCACCTGTCCCCTCAATGCTTGAGAGTTCAGACTGTCTGATTCCTTTCCTCTCTAGTTTGCTCTCCTCCTACTCCTGCAGTTTGGCAGTTTGATTTTGTTTTAGGGTTTTCAAACACTTCATGTTGACCCTCATGACCTCTGTTGTATTATTTCTTATTTCTGTGTGGTTTCTTTGCATCTGATAACATGGCACATGCTGTTCCTCATGTTACATTGTTACTATCTCAACTTGCTCCAGAGGGTAGATTGAAATTTCACACTATTTCTCTTCCTCTGGCAGTGCTGTGTGTTCGCTACTTACTGGTTGATTTGCTTAACGCCACCAGTCTTGCTGTAGGGAGAAATAGATGAGAACCTTCTTTTATAGTTGTGAATGAGGAGCAGCCAGAGTTGACAGGTGATGATGGCATTGGTAAATAAGCCTTGAAACCCAAATTTAGCTTAGGAACATAATGTACTCAAGGGATTTCTCACTTTTCTTTTTTTCTTTTTCTGGGAGGGGGGTTAAATTCTCACATTTTTCTTACCAGTGAGAACTTACTTCATGGATATAAAAATATTAAAGGGATTCCTTTAACATTTAAAAAATAGATGACATTAGGGAATACTCATTTAATTGGATCAAGATTTATTAGACAACTTCCTTCTTTTTTGGCAGTACTGGGGTTTGAACTCAGGGCCTTGTGCTTGCTAGGCAGGTATTCTACCACTTGAGCCTTGTCCCCAGCCTACCCCTCCCCCCCCTTTTTAAAAAGTTTTGCGTTTTTACCTGGGGCTGGCCTTAGACATCCATCCTACTACCTACAGCTTCCCGAGTAGCTAGGATCACAGGTGTGTGCCACCATTCCTGGCTTGTTGGTTGAGATGGGGGAGGGTCTTGCTTTTCACCTAGACTGGCCTTGAACCTCCCATTCTTTGCTTCCTAAGTAGCTGAGATTACAGGTGTGAGCCACTGTGCTTGTGTGTAACCCCCCTACACACACGTTCTTACTTTGAGATAGAATCTTGCTACTTTTTTTTTGCTTGGCTGGCCTCCAGCCTGACCCTCTGCCTGCCAAGTAGCTTGGATTATAGGTGTTAGGCACTGCTCCTGGCTTAGAAAATTTATTTCTATTTTATACAAGCTAAAAAATATATAGTATGATTTATAACAAGGAGGTACAAAGGGCTTTTAACAGAAGGGAAAAATTAATTTTTATCTTTTACGACTTTTCCTCTTTGGCTCCTTTTGATTTTTTTTCTTTTTTTCACTTTTGGAGTGTTAGGTACTTGTGTGTTAGGTGGTTTGGAGGCTCCAGTGTGTTTTCTAACATAGGAATATAAAGAGTTCAAGGAGAATTGAAACCGAATTACAACATAGCTGAAATGAGGATGAGTGTAAAAACACTCAGTTTCAGGTTCTGTAACCATAGTGATTTGCCCCTTCCCTGGCAGTCAGCAAACCTGTCTTTATATTTGCCAACTAAAAGTTCAAAATACTGTGAGGTCTTAGTGACTCATAGAGCAATAGCTTGTAAATCAAGAGTGACCAAAATATTTGTAGTCATTGTTGGTAATGACTGTAGTTCATTTATATCTAGCTTGAGTGATATTCTCTTTTGGTTAATTTGCTAATGATACAGATAACCTTTCTTTAGATTCAGTTAAAATTCTTCATGATGAAATATTTGTTTCAGGTATTTATTCTTCTAGAAAAATATTGTAGGAAACAGTATGTGATTGAATGCTTGTGTGTGTGTATTATATGTAAATGCAGATATTTTTATAGAGGGTTAAACTTTTATTTCCTTTCCAGATATGTGTTAAATGAATCCCAGAGTCGCCAAAATACATCTTCAGCACAGGGTTCTTCTTCAAACAGTGGGGGAGGTTCTGGAATCCCACAGCCTCCTCCAGGAATGAGCTTTTATGCAGCTAAGCGAGTGATTGGTGATAACCCCTGGACCCCTGAACAGTTGGAACAGGTATCGCACACTGGCTGCTCACTGTGGGACTTGGCCCTGCACACCTGCCCTGTGAAGTTCATGGAGGCATGTGTGACATCCTTCCCATGTGTCCAGGCTTTCCAACGAGATATGCTTGGAAGGAGCAGTTGATGTAGTTTGCTCTCTTCACCACAGCAATTATTTGTGAGAGCCCTAGAGAGGGGAGGAGTGGGAAATACTCTAACGTTGCTCACGTATTTCAAGTTATCAAGCAGAACCCATTTTTAAACTATGATTATATTTAATTTCTCTCATTTTAATTTTTAATTGTAGGTTTTATAATTATGAAGCTCCTTTGGCCCAGTTAAAATACAGTTTATCTTACCTTGTTCAACTTTCTAGGGCTGTACATTTTGTGTAAACTGAGGAGGCCCTGTAACTCCAAAAGTGATAACGTGGGGAAAGCATGACTCCCTTTTATATTTCTTCCTGGGAATTTACAAATTGGCATTAAGAATTTTATTCTGGATTTAAACAGGACACAGATGTTCTCTGAGCAGCTTTTAAAAATGCCTGGTGCTCCACAGAGAAGGTGCCTCACTGTGTCTATGTCATCAGGCACCTCAGGGAAGAACAGATGAGATCAGTATGTAATTATTTTGGAATTCAAGCAACATGGGTTAGTCTTCTAATCCTTCCTTTATTTCTCCATGGCAGTCTCAATGATTTGATCCTTTTCTTTTTGGGAATGTAAGTGACTATTGATCAAGTGTTCCCAGGAGAGGGAAAAAGAGGCAAGTGACCATTCTTGCCACTCACAAATTTATAGTTGGTTTTATTCAGTGAGGGTTATAGTTGGTTAGATTTACTTCTTCATGTTTTATGCATCTTTTTTCCCCCCTCTGAACCATGATGTAAGTAAGGTAAATAGTGACAGAAGCTACTCTTTTCTGAGAGTGATTTGTAACAGGCACTGAACTGAGTACTTTGAATCCCTCATCTCATTTAATCCTCACAGCATCCCATGAGGTACAGAAATTGTTAGTTCCAGTTGTAAAAGGCACTGAGGCTTTCAGATTCAGCAAGTTCTCACATCTGTTACCAGACTGAATTAGGTCTGGGGGTTTAAGACACAAATGCTGGAGAGTAATTGTAATCTTATGTTGGTCATTATTTGCTAAAGGACAAAGGCCCTCATATTATTTCATAATCTGTTGCTGAAATAGTTTAGTTTTAAAATGAAAGCTGTTTTTTCTCCTAATTTTTAAATATCTCTATGTTCATACTTTTTCTTTGAGATAAAACAGCTTTTATTTTTTCTAATTATGAAGTTAAAGTTTTAAGTGATCAAGAATAGGATTTGGGGTGGAGTGTGACTTACTGGTGAAGTGCCTAAGCACGTGTGGGGCCTTGGATGAGTACCTAGCACTGCAAAAAGAAAAGAAAGGCAAAAGAAAAGTATAGGGAGAAATGAAAAAATTGCCTGGGATTCTGCCACCCTCATTTGTTCGTCGGTAGCTTGTTGTGTGTGTGCTTGTAAATGCACGTTTACATAACGCAAGTTCACTTGTCATGGAATAGTTGCAGCTTACGTTTTCACTTAATAGTAAAAATTTCATCTTTTTCAATGTCTGTATAAAATTAACTATATGTAATGTTTTTTAACTAGTCTCCCATTGATGGATTGCTGTCATTTTCAGGTTTTTTTTTTATACTTTTTTTGGAGGTACTGGGTTTGAACTCAGGGTCTCATGCTTGCTAGGCAGGTGCTTTTATTGCTTGAGCCACTCCTCCAGCCCTTTTTGTGTGAGGTATTTTTGAGATAGGGTCTCACGAACTATTTGCTGGGCTGGGCTTGAACTGTGCTCCTCTTGATCTCTGCCTCCTAAGTAGCTAGGATTACAGGTATGAACCACCAGCACCTGGCTTTTATACATTTTTTTAATGTTTTTATGTAATTGACTTCCCTAACTGCCCTTTTTGTAGGTTATGTAAATGGGTCTTTTTTTTTTTTTTTTTATTGTAGCTCTTGTAACAATAAGTTGTGTTGAGCAGGGGAGGGAAAGTAGGCCTTACCTGCTTTTTCAATATCTTTTTAAATTGTATCTTATTTAATAATTATAAGCCTTACCAATCCCTAGTCATATACATAAAAACTGTTATGTGACTGACTTCAAAGTGAAGGTACAGTTATACTTACCAGGTTTATTTATCCCATAGTGGTTTGTAGTGAAATTTGTAGCTTCTTCACATTGCATGAAAGTCTACTCAGAATCTTTCTTCAGTCTGTGTTTTATTTCAGCTAATTAGATTAAATGCTGTTTGATTAGAATTGTAGATGTATTGAGTAGTTTGAAGTGTATGAAAACCACATTCTTTTAGTATCTAAGATTATAGAGCATAAGAATTTGTAACTTAGCAAAAGAGTGAAACTCTTTGGAATATGAAGTGTTTAGTATTTTTTGAACTGTTACAAAAACCTATAGAGCACTTTATTAATGTACCATCCTTTTACCTGGAGGTCTCAAATGTAGACTTCAAGTCTACTCTGGGGAGGCTGTGTATGATAGCATATTTGTTGTAGTCACACTTGGACTTGAATCCTGCTTTCATCACTTAACTATATGTCTTGCTCTCTTAAGCCTTGCCTCAGTTTCCTCATCTGAAAAATGTGTGTAATACTTAATAGATTGTGATGGTTAAATGAACCATCACAAATATATATGATTTAGTATAGTCCCAGGCACATTGTAAATCTAAATAGGAGCTGCTACTGTTACGTTAATCCTTGATTTATGACCACAATGATATGTTAAACAGTACTTTTAATGGGTATTCTTTGTTTTCCTGACCACTTTTTTCTCCTTCCCTTCATTTATCTTCAGTGCAAATTGGGCATTGTGAAATTCTTAGAAGCGGAACAGGTGCCTGAACTCGAAGCTGTTCTCCACCTGGTGATTGCTTCTAGTGACACACGCCATAGTGTGGCAACAGCGGCAGACCTGGAATTGAAAAGCAAGCAAAGGTAGCTCCTTCTCTGTTAAGCTTTCAAAATTGAAAGGGGCATGCTTCTAAAAGCTTCACACATGTTTATATATTCTTAGGGTTTTATGAAGTAAGATATTCTATTTTAGGAGATTATGAAATACACCTACTTGGTAATAAAGTTTCCTCAAGAGCAGCATTCTGTATAAGATAAAGAAGAAAAACTGTTTGGAGATGCAGTTTAAAGTGGAATAGGTTAGGAATGTCAGACAATAAATGAAACTTTTGGCTAGGCAAATGAACTTGAAGAATTAATACTAAGAAAAGATGTTAGATCTAAGAAGTTATTTTATCCATATTTGATTCTTCTTCTGCCTCAAACTTTTTGAGATTGCTTTTAATAAAGAACATGCATATATTATAGTTAATAGGGTGAAAACCGGTTCATGGAAATAATTGCTGAAAAGATCCTCAGTAGACTTGTAGAAAATATTCTGTATAAGAAATAAGTTCAAGGGCTGGAGATGTGGCTCACGTGGTGAAGTACTTAGAGTAGGCCAAGGCCCTGAGGTCAAACTCCATCTCCACCAAAGAAAAATAAAACAATGTGTAACAATTTGTACCTATGGTAATAAAATTGTATAGCATTTGAGGCTGCTGTTCTTATGCCCTGTTGATTGACATTACAAATTGTAAGTAATGAATCATAAAAATATTTATACACTTTTACATATAAAATCTTCTGCAAATTTACTCTAAAGAAATTATTCAAAAGAAGAAAAAGATTATATTTAGAAAACATAGATTTATTCATTGTATCATTACCTGTAATTATTAATTTAAAAAAAAAAGTAGGTGCAAAATCAATTTTCCACAATAGGGATAAATTTCTGTATATATCTTTATGGACTATTACATACCTGCCAAAATAATTATAAAAATAATACGGTAGCATGTAAATTGCCCCCAAGTAATGGCAAAGAAATAAAACAATGTAAAATGGTCGGATACATTGATTATAAAATTTAAAAATGACACGTACATAGAGATTGAAGAACATTAACGATGAAGATATTTGGTTAAAAAATTAAATTATAGGGAATTTTTTTTGTTGATTTTTTTCAAATTTTTACTTGTTTGTTTGGATTTGAGCTAGGGTCTCACTATGTAGCCCAGGCTGGCCTCAAACTTGAAATTCTCCTGCCTCAGCCTCCTAAATGCTGGATTATATGTGCCACCATTCCTAGCAGGTCAAATTTATTTTAGTGCTTTTAATTTATAAGCTAGAAGACAGTGGGATGTAGATAAGGTTATAAAACTTTTTAAAGGTTGCATGTATTGTCATTTTCCTCTCTAAGAAAACAAGTACAAGTAGGTGTTACAAAACAAGGAAATTGACTTCATGAGGTACTAGTTTGCTACTGAAATGTGTGTGATGATGGTGGTTGGGAATGGCAGATGAGGTGGCTTAGCAGGGGTTACTTACATGTCATAGGCTTGTTCTGTTCATGGCTTGGGCTGATGGTAGGAACTTGAGAGACTGGCTTAACCTCTCTCAGCCTTAGATTCTAGAATAAGAAAGTGGACTAGATTGTATTTAACATTCTCCTCAAGTCTAAATTCCATCTTGCCGCATGTAACTGAAAATTTCTGGTATCTACTCAATGATTTGGTTTGGAAGTATCAAAAAATTCTTCCTTTAAAATTTCCTGTGTTTGAGCTGGCCCCATTTTTTAAAAATTTAATTTAATTTTTTTATTGTTCTGCTGGGGGTACATTGTGGCATTTACAAAAGTTCTTATCAAATATATCTTACTTGAATTCACTCCCCCTATTATTCTCCTTTATTCCCCCTCCTCCCATTCCTGGAATAGTTTCAACAGGTCTCATTTTTCCATTTACATGCATGTGTACATGGTATTTGCACTATATTCACCCTCCTACACCATTGCCCCACCTCCTCCCGCCTTCCTCCTCCCATTGGTACCAACCCCTCCAAACAGGACATGTTCTGCCTTCCTGTTCTCCAATTTTGTGAAAGAAAAAAATGACATTTTTGTTTAAGATAGCTATACAGGGAGTTTCCTTATGACATTTCCATGTATATATGTATTATATGCTGAATTAGTTCATCTCTATTTTTCTATTTTCTACCTTGTCCCCTTCCTAGGGTGATTTCAGCAGGCTTAAAAATTCTATTTTCATTCTTGTATAGAGAGTACATCAACCATATTCATCTTCTTAACTTCCTTCTTTTACTTTCTCTCTTGCATGTGACCTCCCCTTAGCATGACCCGTGTTTCGTAATATTTCTATGTTTGTATTAGGTCTATATTCCTCATATGAGAGAAAACATGCGGCTTTTGCTAACTGCACTTAAAAATTTTTTTACTATATTTTTGTACTGAGGGTACATTGGGACATTCACAAAAATGCTTATAGTATATCTTAGTTAAATTCACCCCTTCCCTCCATCATTCTCTTTTACTCTCCTCCCCTTAGAATAGTTTTCAGCAGGTCTCATTTTTCCATTTTTATACATGAGCACACAATATTTCTACCATGTTCACCCTCTTCACCCCTTCCCCATCTCTTTCCCCTGACTGGTACCAACAGCAAGTAGAACCTGTTTTACCTTCCTGTCCTCTGTTTTTGAACAGAGACTTTTCTGTATGTTTATGATAGCTACAGAGGAAGTTTCATTATGATATTTCCATGTGTATATGTATTATATCCCAAATTGATTCATCCCCTCCATTTTTCTCCTTTCTACCTTATTTCCTTTCTTATGGTGATTTTAACAGGTTTAAAAATTCTGTATTTATTCTTAGATAGAAAGTACATCAACCATATTCACCTTCTTAACTTCCTTCTTTTACCCTTCTTCTCCCATTAATGTCCTTTCCTTAGTATGACTTGTTTTTCATTCTTGTCCTTCCTTGTTTAGGTGTATGGTCGTTTTCAGTGGAATTTTTGCATTGGTTTCATACCTTAAATGCATTGTTTTTAAGTCAATATAACCCCTCTCCACTGCAGTTCCTTGCTCTTTTCCCCACGCTGTATCGTTCAGCAGTTTTCAGTGTGCTTCATTTTGTTTGGTCCTACACAGTTGTGACGTATGCCATTATTATTCCTTATCTTTCTTTCCTTCTTTTCTTCCTTCCTTGGTCTCCTCTACCAGGTCCACTTTTGGGACATGTTCTGTTTATATTTGTATGTATTATATAATATTGCTTATATTTGTAATGGGCCTGTATTCTACATATGAGAGGAAACGTGGCCTTTGGTCTTCTGAACCTGGCTAACTAAACTTAAAATGATGTTCTCCAGTTCATTTACCTACACACAACAAAATTTCATTCTTCTTTTTTTTTATTATTGTTCTTTTATTCACATGTGCATACAATATTCTTCTTTATAGCTGAATAAAGTTCCATTATATATAAATATTACATTTTCTTAACTCATTCATCAGTTGTTGGGGTGTCTTGGTTGTTTCCATTGTTGGATTGGCTGCACTCTTTATACCATATTATGGATTCATTTATTGGAAACACAAATATGGTGCTTCAATATTTTAATTAGCTTTGTTTTCATCTATTAAAAATGAATTTTTTTCCATAAAAATAATATATTGTTAAGAGATAAAAAGCCAGTTGAGAGCACTATGTAGATACTCATTTTGTGAGTAAAAAAGTCCCAAGTGTCTCTTTATGTGATGCATCTGTTTATTTGTCTATTTCTTTATCTATGTGCCTGCTGTACCTAGCTACCTATTTTACTTGCAGAGAAATTGCAAAAAAGATAAAACAGGGGCACACACCTGTAATTTTATCTACTCAGAAGGCAGAGATAGGAGGATCTTGGCCTGGACGGAAGTGTGAGACCGTGTCTGAAAAACAAACTGAAAAGCAAAAAGGAAGCCAGGTCCTAGTGGCCCACATCAGTAATCCTTCTTACTCAGGAAGCAGAGATCATGAGGATCCTGGTTCATAGCCAGCCTGGGCAAATAGTTTGTGAGATCCTATCTCAAAAAAAAACCCTTTGCAAAAAAGAGCTGGTGGAATGGCTCAAGGTGTAGGCCCTTCAAACCTTAGTACCAGCAAAAACGGAACAAAAAAAAAAAAGCAAAAAGGATTGGGGGTGTGGCTAGAAGGTCCTGAGTTTATCTCTAGTACTACTAAAAAAAAAAAAGATACACTAAAGTTAGTGATTGCATTGAAAGGCAGTGTGGGGATATGGTTCAGTTTACAAGGAATTTTATTTTCTGTATTATTCACTTTCACAACAAATAGGTAATCAGAGAACCAAAACTAGAAAGTTGGGAAGAAGCAAAATAAAACAATGGAAATTATTATCACTAAGTAACTACTACTAAGCATTTTGTTTGTTTCACTAAAGTGTTTCTGTATTTGTCAAAAATGTCTACTCCTGAAGTAGTATAAAAGAGCAACAGTGGTGTAGCTTGAAGATGAATCAGTAGTGATCTGCTGGTTTTCTCAGCTGAGAAAAGATGTAGGTGAATAATGCTTCAAATAGAGTTGTAGAATGTCCTTGAGAATAATGTGATTGTAGATAGCTAAAGAAGAGGCAGATTGCTCACCTATGAAAGAGGAGATGAACTAGAAAAGCATTCAAAGCAGCAGGATAAATTGTGTTTGCACCAATAGCTTGAAAGAAGAGCCAATGTCAGAAGGCAGAGAGAAGACTTAAGCAGTCGAGAGATGAAGCATTGCATTATTGCTAGGTTTATAAAATGAATGGATGAGGTCTATTGTGTGGGGTAATAATATCCAGTCACTTTACGGCATAATTCACCTTCTTGTGGGGCCCAAATAGGAATAAGTCTCAGTGACAATTGGCAACATGACTGCTCTGAAGAATTAGGTGCTGAAGCTGTGTGTACTGATAGACAAGTAGGAGGGGGATGCTGGGAAGCAAATGACACAATATTAGAGAAGTATAGTGGGATACAATAAAAATATTTGTGTCACTTAATCACTTTTGAATTTCTAAGTGGTTAAACAGAAGAATCATCCCCTGCCCTAGTGCTTTTTGAACAACTGTAGTGTAGTTCTGTTGTTTTGAGCTGTTCATGGCTTTGGCCCTAAAAGCTCATCTATGTAGGAATATAGTCCAATTTCCTTGTGTGGTACCACAATTGGGCCACTGGATACAATAATCTGTTGAATCAGGGTAGAATAACGATCTATATTTTTTCAAGCTAACTTTGGTAGAAGTTAGTCCCCTTCATTTCTCCTCTTCTGCCGTGTTGACTGCCCATTTCATTTGTGTGGTAATAAGTATTTTCCTTTGAATAAGTATTAGGGTTATGATTTTTTGAAGTTACTGAAGTTGGAGAAAAAATAATTTTAACCTGTATTGAAACCTTCTGTAGCTTAATCGACTGGAATAATCCTGCCATCATTAATAAGATGTACAAGGTATACCTTGGAGATATCCCACTGAAGACAAAAGAGGTACGTTGTTTTCATTTATTCTTTCATAAAGTATAATAAGTGTTTTATTGACATGAACTGTATATTTTTCTCCTAGTGTTTTGTTTTTGAGACAGGGTCTCCTTATGTAGCCCAGGCTGTCTTGGTCTTACAGTTCTCCTGCCTCAGCTCCTGAGTGCTGGTATTATAGGTGTGTGCCTCCTGCTTCTAGTTTCGATTTAAGCTGAATTTATATTTTATGAGATACTAACTTTAAGCCTTGGTAATGTAGGCACACTAAAATCTATTCCAGATGGGTTCCACATGAATGTGTTAGGAGGAGAGGGTTTGGCTAATCATAAAACTTCTCTGACCCTCATATTGTTTTTTTTTCCCTTTCCCTTCCCCTTTCTTTCCCCCTGTTCTTTTCTTTCCTTTCCCTTCCCTCCCCTCCCCTCTCTTGGCTGTACTGTGGTTTGAACTCAGCCTCAGGCTTGCTAGGCAAGTACTCTGCTGCTTGAGCCCCTCCCCAGCCACCTGTCATGTTCTTCTATGTAAATAAATGAAGGGTTCGGATTAAGTTAGCGGTTCTCATTCTGTAGTTCATGAGCTTTTGAGGATCACAGAGCTTTTTAGGGGATACATAAAAGCAAGAGATTATTATTATTTTACTGTGGTAGTATTTGTATTGATGGTTCAAAAACAACAGTGGCTATACATATTAGGATCCTGTCACAAATTGAAGCAAATATGTGTCACTCTATGTCAGTCTGTGGTTATTGAGACAGGTGTTTGGCAGATATTTTCCCTATAAAGGAAATAATAACGAGGTTACTTCAAGGAAAAGTTGAATTTTCAAGAAAAAATTAGAATTGTGGGAAATTTGAATTCACCACAGTGACTCAGCAGATTAGCAGTACTTTTTCTGAAACGATTGGTGGTGATATGGACACTTTTTGTGTGTGTGTGCGTGTGTGTGGATGTATGTGTATGTATGAAGCAACATTTGCTTAAGTGGGTGTGCCAATATTTTCCAGATGACCAGTGATGTTACAGAGACATGTAAGCTAAGGAAGCCATCCAAAGTTCAAGACAGACCAGTGGAATTTAGTGTAATGGTGTGTCCCAAAGCTCAGCTATTGAGCTTAAACTCCCAATTGCAGCTGACCTTTAAGCAACAGTTATTTATCAAGTTTTGACCTAGTATCAAAAAATCCACAATACCCAAAAATGCTAAAATCATCCCCAGTTTTCTAACTGAATTTCTGTGCGAGCTGGGTTTTAGCACATACTTCAGCCAAAGCAACACATTGCAGCAGATTGTTGTGGAAGAATATGCAGGTGTCCAGCTGTCTTCTAGGAAGGTGGAAGTTGAAGATACTTGTGAAACACAGGCCACTTCCTCAGTGCAATGTTAAGGACGATTTTTTCATAAAAATGTTACTATACCGATAAAAATAAAAGCTTTTGGAATGCAATAATTTTTAAAAGTGAAAGGTGATAAATGATTTTGAAATACTTCGTTATAATCAGATGTATTTTCCACAGGGAGCAGTTCTGAAACCAGAGCTGAAAAGAGACCCTGTCAGCACCAGAGTCAAGTTAAAGATTGTCCCTCATCTCCTTCGTTCTAGACAAGCTGCTGAAACCTTCCCAGCTAACATTCAGGTATTTGTACTTTACAGAGAAAAACAGCTGATTGGAAAATAATGTCTATTTAATTAGAGAAAGAACTGTTGATTGTATGTTTTTTTAGCTTAAGTTTAGCTGCAGAAATGATTTTTTAAAATTAATTATAGAATACCGCTTATTATTTCCATTCATCCTAAATGTATGGTGATAATCCCTTTTAATCTAGTTGTTCGTGTGTGTGTGTGTGTGTGTGTGTGTGTGTGTGTGTGTGTATGTCCAAAAATGATAGCATCAGGAACATTTTAAAGTGCAAAAACTGGTCATCCTTAAATGAAACCCACACGAAGGCAGTGGCTAATTCCCCTTGATTTTGTCTTTCTAATTAATGTCTCTCTCTCTCCTTCAGGCCCAGTGCTGATACTAATTCAGACAGACTGTGATTCTAGTTTTGGTTTTTGCAGAAGTCTTCTACCTTGTCTCTCAGCCTCTACTCTGGCCCACATTTAGTCTGTTTTCTGTGTTGTTACCAGAATTATCTTTGTAGTTGAGAATTCTTATATTCTATGTTGGCAGAAGAGGCAAGCTCTTCCACAAAAGACCTTGCCTTTAACTAAGTCATGAGCACCTCAGTTCTGGAGCCAAATAACTTGGGATAGAATTATCTACATTATTTCTTTTAAAATTGTGATAAAATGCACATCAAATTTTCCATCATAATTATTTTAAGTATGTAGTTCATTAGCTTTAAATGCATTCAAAATGCATAGCCATCACTCCCATATCTATAATGCTTTTCATCTTGTAAAACTGACACTCAGTGTTGTTCAGTAGTAACTCTTCATTCCTGTTGTCCCATAGCCCCTGGCAGCCACTGTCCTGCTTTCCTTCTGTATGAATTTGACTACTCTAGGTACCTCTTAAGTGAAATCATAGAGCATTTGTCTTTTTGTGACTAGCTTGTTTCACTTAGCGTAATGTCTTCAGGGTTCATCCATGTTGTTACAGCATATGCCTAAATTTGCTCCCTTTTTAAGGCTGAATGTCTTACTTATCTCTTTGGGTAAAAATGCTTCCACGTTTTAGCTTTTATGAATAGTGCTGCTATGAACATGAATATGCAAGTATCTCTTTAAGAACTTGTTTTCAGTTCTTTCGCATATCTTGGATCATATGGTAATTTTCATTTTTTGAGGAATTGCCATACTGTTTTACATGTTGACTATATCATTTTACATCCCCATCAACAAGTACACAAGGGTTCCAGATTCTCCACGTCCTCAACACCACTTATTTTCTGCTTTTCTTGACAGTAGCCTTCTTAATGGATGTGAGGTATTATCTTTTTGTACTTCTCTTCTGCTTCTTTGGTTCTCTGTCATTCACTCACTCACTCACTTGCATACATTGCTGTATTTTTGAGATTGGGGCTCTTGCTATGTTGCCCAGACTGGTCTCTAATTTCTGGGGTGCAGTGATCATCCAGCCTCACTCAGCCTCTCGAGCCTTTTTGTTTTGTGGTACTGGGATTTGAACTCAGAGCCTTGTGCTTGCCAGGCAGGTTCTCTACACTGCCACCCTGTGTATGTTTTTGTTATTTTTTGAATAGAGTCTCATGTTTATGCTCTGGGCAACATGGACTGCAATCCTGTTTAAGCTTCCTGTGCAGTTAGGTTGACAGTTGTGTGCCACCATGCCCAGCTTTTTATTAGTTGAGATGGGATCTCACTAACGGTTTGCTTGGGCTGACCTGGAACCATGATCCTCTCTTTGTCTACCTCAGAGGCAGCTAGAATTATAGGCATGAGCCATAGCACCTGGCTCCCAAGGCTATTTTTCTTTTTCTTTTCTCTTTCTTTTTTTTGGAAGCCCTGGGGTTTGAACTCAAGGCCTCATACTTGCTTGGCAGGCACTATACTGTTTGAGCCATTCCACCAGCCCTCCAAAGCTATTTTTGAAGAGCTGTTTAGTTTTAGGAGTTCCATTTACATTCTAGATACTAATCCCTTATCACACACAATTCTCTCTTTTTTTTTTTCTATTCTGTGAGTTGCCATTTTTTTACTCTTTGGATGTTGTGCTTTGATACATAAAATTTTTTAATTTTCACAAAGTCTGGTTTCTCTTTATTTATTTTTTTTGTTTCCTGTACCTTTGGTATTGTATCCAAGAAGTCATCAAATCCAATACTGTGAAATTTTTATCCTATGTTTTCCTTTAAGAGTTTTCTAGTTTGAGGTCTTAAGTGTAGGTCTCTAATGCATTTTGAACTGATTTTCGTATATGGTTTTAGGTAAGGGTCCAACTTTATCCTTTTCCATGTGGGTATTCAGATTTCTCAGTACCAGTTGTTAAGAAGAATATCCTTTCCCTGTGAAATGATATTGACACCCTGGTCAAAAATCATTTGACCATATATGTGAAGGTTTAGTTTTAGGCTCTCTAAACCAATTCATCTATTTGATAACCTGTGCTGGTATTATGAGTTTTGTTTGTTTTTTGCATTGTTTGAGATAGGGTCTCTTATTTGCTATGGAGTGTGCAGGCTGGCCTTAAACTCAAGATCCTTCTTCTTTAGCCTCCCAAGTGCTGGAATTACAGAAGTGAACCCCCATCCCCGGCTTACTTATTTTTAATGACACCTGATAATTGCATATAATTATGGGGTACAGTGTGATTTTTTTCTATACATTTAAGAAGGATTCAATCAAGCTAAGCAACTATATCACTCCACCTTATTTTTTTGTTTTAGCAGTACTATGCTGTTTTGATTACTGTACCTTTGAGGTAATAAAACTTGATATTAGGAGGCATGAGTCTTCCAGTTTTCTTCTTCAAGTTTGTTTTGCCTATTCAAGATCCCTTGAGAGTCCATGTACATTTTGGGATGGGCTTTTCTGTTTCTGTAAAAAATGTCACTTGGATTTTGGTAGGGCTTGCATTAAATCTGTAGATTTCTTTGGGTAGTAGTGATAGCTTAATATTAAATCTTTTAGCCCATGAACATGGGATGTACTTCCACTTCTTTGTTTTTAAATTTTTCTTGGACTGGAGGCATGGCTTAAGTGGTAGAGTGCCTGTCTGGCAAGTGCAAAGTCCTGAATTTGAACTTTAGTATTGCCATAAACATAAATAAATAAATACATACATACATAAATAAATTCTTTCAGCAATATTTTGTAGCTTTCATTGTACAAGTCTTTTACTTCCTTGGTTAAGTTAATTTCTAAGTAGTTTATTCTTTTTGATGCTGTTGTAAATGAGAGTTTTTGGAATTTCCTTTTTAGATTATTCATTGTTAGTGCATAGAAATTCCAATTTGACTATCTTTCTTTTTCTCTTTTTTGCCTAATTGCTCTGCAAGATCTTTCAGTGTTCGTTTGGGTAGAAGTGGCAAAAGCAGGTGTCTCTGCCTTCCCAAACATGAAGAAAAGGCCTTTGGTCTTTTTTCCATCAAGTATGATGCTTACTGTGGGTTTTCCATATATGGCCTTTTTATTTATTTATTTTTTTTTGTGGTGGTGGGGCTCTGTCTTAACTGTGTTTCACAGTGGTAGGCCTGATTCTGGTTTTCAGTTCTAAGCCCTGGACTTAATATTGTCAGCTCTCTCCCAAGTGGGAGACCTTTGTCTTCATTCTGATAGCTTGAAGTTGGGGCAGGGGTGAGGCTGGCAACTCCTTCCTGAGTGCCTTCTTCAAGGCATCTTTTCTTTTGTTACATTAAAACCAGGCACTATGGTCTTTCACCTTACTTCCTTAGCTCTTGTGAGAGCAGTTTCATGTGTGAATAGTTGTTCACCTTGGTGTGTCTATGGGAGGTGATAGGTGGAGGACCTTTCTCTGGCCATCTTGCTCTTCTTTCTTATAGGTGGCGTTTATTATGTTGATATAGTTATGTAGTTTTATTTCTGATTGGTTAATTTTTTTTCTATTAGGCAAGTATGTTGACTTTTATGTTTTTTCTTCATCAGTTCATATAATGATGTGTTTTATCCCTCCTCTATTCTGTTAATATAGGCTATTATATCAATTATTTTTAATAGATTGAACTTCCTTACCTTTCAAGAATAAATGCCATTTGGTTATGGTGTATAATTCTAATATGCTTTGAATTCAGCTTAGTATTTTGTTGAAGGTAGTGTTTATTTTTTGCATCAGTGTTTATAAAGGCTATTGTCTATAGTTTTCTTGTAGTATCAGTTTGCTTTTGTTCTTAAGCCTTAGATTTTTTCTGTTTTTTTTTTTTTAAGCTGAATAACACTTGTCTCATAACAATGAGGAGTGAATGGAATAATGGATAAAAATTCCCAACACAGAGTTTGGTACTCATTAAGTTATTAAGTTCTTATTAAATGGTGAAATGTTAAAGGTTTTTTGCCTTCCGGTCCCATTTCTCACCATCCCTTGCCCTGCATCTTGTGCTCCAACAAAAGATTTTAGTCCTGTAAACACACTGTTTCATGGCTCTGTGTCTCTACTCATAATGGCCCCTCTGCCTGGCATGGAGATTCCCTTTGCCCTTTCAGCCTAATAAACATCTATTCAGGTTTCAGTATTTGCTTGAGTGTGCCACTCCTATGTGAAGTGTCCAGATCCCTACCTCTTCTCCTTTGCTGTTCCTGAATGAGCATGCTCCCCCTGGTGCTTTCACTGTAAGGTGGGCTTAGACTTCTGTTTTAGGATCTCTCTGTTTTAAGGCTAGTGATTATTGGGTTTGAATTCAAGGCTTCACACTTGCAAAGCAGGTGCTGTACTGCTTGAGCCACACCTCCAGTCCATTTTGCTCTGGTTATTTTGGAGATAGGGGGCCTGTGAACTGTTTGCCCAGGCTAGTCTCAAACCTTGGTCCTCCTGATTTTAGCCTCCCAAGTAGGTAGAATTACAGCGCTTGGCAAGGCTGATTGTTAGTGTGGCTGCTTCATCCTTTTAAATGATAAAACTTTAATTTCTAGCATCTGGTGTATAGTAGGAACTTTAATATTTGAATTATTTCATATATTCTATTCTATGTTCCGTAAACATAAAATTTCCACACAGCTTCTAAGCTATCAGTTTCCAAGTACTATATCCCAGGGAAGTATCTTCATAATTTTGATTGAGAAAATATTACATAAACTGCCAGAATTTCTGGGCAAAATATCTTTTTCCCATAGGTTTATACATTATTTCTAGTCACTGATTTTTGTTGTTATTGTTTTGATGTGCCTCCGGTTTGAACTTAGGGCTTTGCACTTGCTAGGCAGGTTCTTTACCAATTGAGTCACATCTCCAGCCCTTTTCTTTAGCTACTTTTCAGGCAGGATATCATGTTTTTGCCTGGGGCAAGCCTCATACCATGATTCTTCTACCTATGACTCCCTGCATCTGGGATTATAGTGTGTGCCACCATGCCTGGCTTGGTTGAGACACAGGTCCTGCTAATTTTTTGTCTGGCCTGGCCTCAAACTGTGATACTCCCAATTTCTTGTCTTCTGAGTAGGCTGGGATTACAGGTTTGAGCCACCATGCCCAGCTATATGTTTTGAAAATAAGACCAGCTAAAATTGAGTGTTTTCAAAGACAAAACATTGTCTGCCATCCCTAAATATTCTTATATTACCTTTTTAAATGATGACATTACCATTTCCTGCATAGTTTTCCCTACCCTTTTCTTCTCTTGTTTGCCAGGGTGTCTGTCAGGTGAGTCCCTTCTTTCTGATATTGACACCTTTAAGTAGGTGTGTGTTATATCACCTCAGTTTTGAACACATAAACATACTCAGCACAATTCTTCACATATGATATGTGCACAATAAATTGTATTTTTTCTCACAGAACCTTAGCATTCGAATTAATCTTTTTGCTTTTATTATCTTACCATATTGTTCTACATAATATGACCATCTGTTTAATGTTCTAAGAAAAAAAGTCTGAGCCAAATAATGTAGCACTGGAATCTACTTTGTCATATCATTTTAATTGTAATTCTCAATAAGGCCAAGTGTCTTGATGCTTGTTTTTTACATCTCATGGGTACGGAACATAGTGGCAATTATGAAGCTAGAGACTCAGTGCTGGTGTCTTACTCATATGTTTTTGTTAAATAAGAGCAGAGTAATGCTAGTAGTTTTAGTAATAATGATACAAAGATTTTTTTTTTCCATGTAGAATAATCCTTATAGTTTTAGGAACAAGGGTGTGTAGAGTTTTTTTGAGTGTAAGAGTAACATTTCTCTTAGATGCAGGAATTTGAGGGCTTACATATCTTTGATCTTGATGTTTACTATTCGTACTTGAAGCATGCTACACAGGACTCAACTGCGTGTTTTTGCATTTTAGGCATAATTTACACAATATCTGGAACATTTCTAATCCAACTGCACACTTGTAGAATGTTTTAATTTTGATGTTTTCTGTGAAGCTTTTATTATTATTTGTTTGAAGTGACTACCTGATTGCCCCCAACTGTGTGGTATGGGATGGCAGTGATGACCCACTCTGATGTGAACTCTTTATTGCCCCCTAGTGGTAGACCACAAGTTTTGCAGACTTGTGAGATGAAACGTGTTTATTACATCACAGACTATTGATAGGACTCCTAATTGGCTTTCCAAGTTTGTTAGATAATAATGATTATATGTATAAAAAAATAACAAAATATAGTGTAAAAGGTCTACTGTTGGATCCTGAGTTTAATTCAAAAATAGTGAATTGTTGCTTTGTTAATTGGTGTCCTTGACTTTGTTCCTTTTACATAGGTGGTGTATGATGGACTATTTGGTACAAATACAAATTCAAAACTAAGAACATTATCCCTGCAGTTTGTACACCACATTTGTATAACGTAAGTCTTTTGAACTATTTTAGCTACAGTGTTTTCAACTGCTGGAATGATCAGATGGCTCAAGTATATCTTTTTTTTTTATCTTATCTAGAAAGCAGTCAGGTTTGTTCAGCCTAAAAATTTTCAGTTTTAATAGAGTGATTATTTTGCTTGTCTCTAATTTTCTTAAGTAATTATCTGAAAAGATACCTAATTCTTACCTCGCTTTGTGTATATGTGTTTTTTTAAAAGCTGTCCAGAAATCAAGATTAAGCCATTAGGTCCAATGCTGTTGAATGGCCTCACTAAGCTAATCAATGAATATAAAGAGGTAAGTGATTTGTGTTTTAAATTTTAACATTTTATGATTTAAAATATTTTCTGTAATAAACCTTTCTGGTCTACATATTGATGTAGTTAACATTTGATATTATTCATCGTTCATTAACATTTTTACGTGAAATGGTGCAAATTTCAGAAATGACTGCCGTTTTTGCCTTTTTTTAAAAAAAGAAATAAGTATTAAAATTGATATAAGTCTTGAGGGGTCTTACCACTTCTTTAAGTTACATGTTTTAAAGCATCTGCATTTTTTGTTCCTTCTATGCACTAGGCAAAAATGAAATTAATGAAACTTAATTTTATGATTTATTTCCATATGGGACTATTTGAATTTCTTGTATACTGGGAAACAATGTTGATTCTTAGGGGCTGAAATTTTACTAATTCAGAATTCTATCAAAACATGCATTCAGTAGATTTTTGATTACTTAAACCAAGTGGGATGAAGATTCCTTGGATTATAGGTTTTTAGAATCCTGTTTTTCCTTTCTGTATTTTTCTCATCATCTGTAATATTTCAGGAGAATATGCTTTAAAAAGATAAGATTTAAAGAAGTCTAGTTAGCATTAATTTTCTCAGACCTAGCTAAACATGAATGCATGTTTGTGATAGTGCAGTGAGGTCAAGATCTTGCCATCTGAAGTTAGAATTGAATTTGAATCATAGTTTTGTCCTTTGGTGAGTTACTTAGATGATTTGGAATTCTGCTTTTTATCAGAAAAATGAAAATAATCTACCTTACCTGGATTATTGTGAAGATTAAATGAATTAATACAAAAATTATTCAGCATTGTCAAGGCACATAAGGAGATATTATATTATTAATGAAAAACTGTTCATTTATGTGCAGCTGTGCTTTGGAATAAGTGGTAGGACTGGCTCTCCTAGCTTTTTTATCCAATTGAACAATGCTTGCCTGCTTTTTAAGGTTTAGGAAACCTTTCACATCATTTTATGGCATAGATAAGCAGATGCTTTTGTGTGGTTGGTAGGAATCATGCTTGGAGCTTTTGGAGAGAAACTGTATATTTCAAAGTAGGTTAGAGAATCCATATAAACCACAGGACCCTCCTCCTCCTCCCTCCAGATGATGTCTGCATTCCTTCCCAATGGTTAAATCCTTGAGAATGGCTGTTCAGATGTAGAGGGTGAATCCTAGATTGAATGTATAAATTTCATCTGGCAAAGTTTATTACTGTGTTCTGAGTGACTAGTCAGACTTACCAGTTTTCATGAAACCATGTAAAGTTCTGTCTCTATCTTCAGGAGGGAACCTCACTAATTCATTTGGTGGCTCTGACCCCTTAATTTGTTATTGTGGAAGAAATAAGAGGAAGTTGTTTATTATAGTGCAGATTTGTAGAAGTTGTGCTTCTGCATATTGCAATTTTGGTGTGAGGAGGACCCTTTTCTGTCAGACCAGTGATGATAAATTAAGGTATTTTCCTAGTATATAGAAGATAAATTTTGGTGTTTGCAGGATACATGGTATTGAAAATATCCTGAACTTAGCACCAGCTAAGAGAAACCCTTTCATACATGCCCATTGCATTTTCCTCTTGGAATGAGTTGGGGATTCAAGGCTTGGTTTTGTTTTACCTTTAGTAGTGTGATGGGTTCTGGGTTTAGACATTCTTGTTGCTGTTCAGATACCATTATCATGTGGCTAGGCAGAGCGAGACCTAAGTTTAACAAGGGGTAAAATGATGCATGTAATTGCAGCAGAAAGGTTTTGCTGTTTACTGTATTTTTTGTTTTGTCTGTTTTTTGTTATTTCTTTTTTTCCTTTTCTTTTTCCTTTTTTCTTTTTTAATTTCAAGGACCCTAAACTACTGTCAATGGCATATTCAGCTGTTGGAAAACTCTCCAGGTGAGTAAACTCTTTTTTCAGTGAGAGATAGATATCCTGTTGGCAAACTGAGAAAGTATTTGTGGCATTTAATAATGGATGGAGAATAAATCTGTTGTGATTGTGAAGGGAATGTATTTAATGACCATAGATTGTTTAGAGCTGTCTTCTTTGTAGAAGAAAAGAGATGTGAGACATTTTAAATTATATTTGAAAATATATTACCATATTAAATGTAGTCCTGAAATGAGATTTTGAACTGAATTGTGTCATAATGGGTTATAATTTTTGTAACCTAGAGACATTTGGTTAATCTTAATTGTTCTTATTGTTACTTACCACCAAATTTATAATCCCTAAGGTTTATCTAGTGAGTCCTTTTCCTGATAGTGTTTATTACTATGAGTCTGAGTGACCCTGTTTTCAAAGAGGGATTTATTTTCTTCTGCTTAGTGTGACTTCCTCATTCTGATTCCTCCTGGTTTCATTTTTCTTCACCATGTTTTAAGCAGGGAAGTAGAGAGGATGTGTCCTCAGTGCCACCATGTGGTGCTTCACTGTGTCGCCTTTAGAGACTGGGTCTTACTCTTCTCTGTGCCAGGGAAAGGGCTTTGTGACTCAGAGGAACACGACCCCAGATAAACTACTTTACAGCATAGAGATGGTGGCAAACCTTGTCCCTTATCTGCTGGCATGAAGTAGTAAATTTCCTGACTGTGATAGGTTTTAGTTTAAGTAGCATTTTGTTCGTATCTCTTTTCTTCATGTTAAAATCAGAAATGTTAACTGAATGCATGGAATATTGTGAAGGGAATACCTGGAAAATATATATTAATCAATGGATTATATACTTGAATAATTAAATATTTACTTGTAAAAATATTGGGTTCTTAGGGGAAGTAATCTGATGATGCTAACATATTCAGAGAGAGGAGAATGCAAGTTCAGGGCAATTTGTGTGTAGTTTCATTCTCTTCCTTTCTGTCTCATGGAAATGTATGGTAGTAATGACACTCGTGTTCTCTTACAGTCGAATGCCCCATTTATTCACTAAGGATATAGCTCTTGTTCAGCAGCTTTTTGAAGCCCTATGTAAGGTAGGGAACAGCTTGTAAATTTATACTTTCTGCTTGGATACTTAGCAGGAAATCAACTGGAAGGGAAACACTGTTTTTATCTTCTTTATAGGAAGAACCTGAGACTCGACTTGCTATCCAAGAAGCATTATCTATGATGGTTGGAGCTTATAGTACTTTGGAAGGAGCACAGCGAACTCTGATGGAGGCACTTGTGGCTTCATATTTGATAAAGGTAGATCCAACTGTGTGAATGACAGTAACTGGTGCAGTATACATTATGTTAAATTTTTTAAGTTGACCCATAAAAATTGTACATATTTATGAGGTATCATACGATGTTTCACTACATGAATACATTATATACTATTCGAATCAGGGCAGGCATATTCTCAAATATTTATTACTTCTTTGTGATGGAAAGTTAAAAGTTATTCTAGTTTTTTTGAGAAAAGTAGTGCATTATCATTATTGTAATCACCCTGTTATGCACTAGAACACCAGAACTTACTCTTTCTGTCTAACCTAGTGTCTGTAGACCAACCTTTCCCCACCTCCCCCTGTCCCCTCCTCCCCCTGTCCCCTGCTTTCCCTCAGACTTTGGTAAACACTATTTTCAACTTTTATGAGAGCAACTTTTTTGGATTCCACATATGAGTGAGATCATGTGATCCTGTTTTCTTTGTGCCTGGCATATTTCACTTATCATCATTTCCCTGTCCATGTTGCTGCAATACTTGTTTTTCTTTTTGTATAGTGATAGTTTGCATAGTAATTTTTTTTATGTCTACTGTGTGGGAAAACTATGTGTAATGCCATGCCTTCCAAGTTGGAAGTGTTTTGTCTTAACTGGTAGTTGAGTACTCAGTCCATTAGAGTAGAGTTCTAAGGTAATATTGGCAGAGAAAAAGGACAAACTGAATATGTCAAAGTGAGTCTATAGGAAGTAAGCCAACACCATCATATATGCCTCTTCTAGTCCTCTATACTTAGCTTTCATGGGAGTTTGCAGGAGAATTTGGAATGTCGGTAGACACAATTATACATAATATGTAATACATGGTATAAGTTATTATATATTTGCTTTAGTTCTTTGTCCTCCATTTCTAGAAAGAGGAAGAGATTAGAATATGGAATGATGTCCCCACATATTGGTGAAACTTATATAAGTTATTCTTACTAAAATTAGACTGACATGATTTAACACAGTTATATTGAGGGAATTCTTAGAGGTTCCGAAGGTATCTGGTTTCTATTAACATGACAGGATTAAATTTTGCCATTATGTACATTTTAGAAAGCTGACAGTTAGAGAGTCCCATTGTCAAATGCTTCTGGTGTCCAGTTCATGTAGTTTGTGGTCATATATTCTATGAATTTATGTGGAAGCTCACTAGAATATAATACTTGAAACTTTCCCTAAGTAACCTTATAAGCAAGTGTTGTATAATGTGTGCAAGTCCTGGTTGTACTCATGCAAATGAAATGATGGAGCAGTATTACCATGCCAAAGCTAATTTCTTTTCATAGACTACACTTAAAGTAACCAAACTCTAGGCTAAATCATAATTTAAATGAGTCCTTAATATCATTAATCTTTACTTTAGCTCAAGGAATGCTAAATAGCAAGAATACCCGAACAAATGGGAGAGTGTATATTTTTTAACATCTCTTATATTTCACCTATGTTTGTGGTTGGAGGAATGAGCCAGGGAGAAAGCACATGAAGATAAATGTTCAAGATCAGTAAATCCTAAAAGTGGTTGAACTTTGTATTCGTAAATTATTAATGTAAATTAAATGAATATATTTATGTAGATAAGTCTTTGCTCTGGAGTCATTGTTAACTTTAGAACTAATCTGAGAATGTCAAAGGCATTTTTTGCTTCAAATTTGTAGGGATTCCAAGTAATCTGTGATTGTATTCCTCACAAAACACTTGAATTTCACTTGTGTGACTAAGGAGTTTGAGAGTTGAGGAGGCAGGAATAGTGACAAAAAACTGTTACATTGAATCTTAGTCCTAAGGTTTAGGCTGCAGATGTGCATGCACAGAGAGACTCTCTAGGTGGGGTTTTTGTGGGTCTTCCCTGCTTGAACAAATTATTTTTCTTGATTTAGGTACATATTTATTAAATATAAACTGAAATTTGGAATTGTTTGCAATTTTGATGACTTATCTTGTCTAGACTGTATTACTGGTAATTGAAATCTTTTGTTTTTTGAGGGTGGGTGGATTTCTTTTGTTTTTATTTGTTCCATAGCCTGAAGTTCAAGTTCGACAGGTGGCTGTGAAATTTGCCAGCACGGTGTTTCCTTCAGATCATATTCCTTCAAGATATTTGCTCTTACTAGCTGCAGGAGATCCGTAAGTTTCAAAAGGTGTTAATTTGAATTTGAGTTTATTTTAAATGTATTTGAAAATTACAAATTTATGTCATTTGCAAAGTCGATATATGAAATTTAGAAGCAATTTATTAAGCAGTTAAAAGTATGATCCTTGCTGCGACCTGCAGTCATACAGCTATAATTGAATTAAATGTATAAATTACAGGTTTATTCGTATGATACATATAGGTTACATATATATCTGTAATGTGTCACATTAGATAATATAAAAAATGTTGATGAAATAATCAAGTATAAATCAAATTATGTAATTGTATATGTAATGTAACTTTATGTCTAAAAACAGCACATCCTGTATAAGGTGATAAAAAGAATTGTCACTGACCATTTAACATATTTTGATATTTTATTATGTTGATGATTATTTTATATCTAATATGCTAAGGTTTTTAAATGAGGTGTACGTATTGGATTTTAGATTGATGAATTATATTTCTTCATTTCTAGAATATATAATTCCTTTTTTCAAATCATTTAAATGTTTCTGAAATTGGGACATCCTTTGAAAGCTATATGTATATAAAATGAATGAGGTATATGTGTGCATATTAAAATAACTCATTAAATCTATTGTGTATCTTACATTCAGTATTAGCTTAAAATCCATGATGCACTCTAGCATAGGTCTAAATTAAACCATTATTGCATTTGCTTTTTAGAATTTTTGTATCTTTTAAATAAGATTCTCATATTTTTGAAGACTAATTTATATTAAATAAAATAATGTATTCTTTGATCATTTGAATACTATTTTCATAAACTTTTATGATATGGTCTCTTTTTTTAAAGTGGGCAATTCCTTGAGGATTGGTTTGGTATTCTATTGACCCACCTGTGTGCCCTTGATGTCATTTGTACCCCTATAAACTATATTTTGGTATGATTTTTCAGGTTGGTATTTTAACTGATATCATAGGTATTACCAGGTCTTGTCTTTGATTTCCGATCTTGGCTGCTGTTTCTCATCCATTCACATTTAGATTTTGTTAAAGTGGTTTTGGATTATTTATCTTGATTCTGCCAGCTTGTTTCTCACTTTTCTACCTTAGCTTCCCAACCACAGATCAGACATCCCAGGGCCTGGGAACTAAGGTAGCTGTTCATGTTAGAGCAAGAATTTAAGTTCAGGGAGTTAAGCAAAGCTCTTAACCAATGATCCTTTGTCTCTTAAGTACTGGAAATTATTTTTATTTACAAAACCCAAACTAAAGCATAACTAATTTCAGCAGATTTCCTTCTTTAGTTTAGTTAAAATTGATCCAAAGGAAAATCCTCTGGCAACTTGAAGGTTTATTTTGTAATTCTTTTCTGCTTAGCTCTTTATAAGGTGCTGTTAGGAAAACAAGACCTAATCTAGAGACAGTTATGGACTTAAAGGAACTTTATATGGTATCTAAATAAAACTAATGTTGAGGTCATTCTCTGTGTGGTCTGAAAGTGAATGTCACTTCTCAATTACCAGTTGTACAGAATTGTAGCCGAACTGCATAGAGGTATAAGAATTTGAATGAGTGTACAGAACATTCGGCAATTACTAAATTTTAAAGTGTGTATTGCAATTGTTCATTGTTCATGATTTGCCTCTACTAAGGATAAAACATACACCTAGATATTTACATAATGAATTTTAGTAGCCTATCTTGTTTTATTTTTTCCTGTGAGTAAAAATCAAATATGTAAGCCAAATGACTCTCCAAATCTCATTGTATTTCTAAAAAGAAGTAATTTCTTATAATGCATTATATTGGTGCTTTGCTTAGGTAGCCAAAAATATATTTAAAACATTTTTTCAGAGTTCCAGCTGACAAAATTCCTTTTTTTCAGTCTTCAAATGATCATTCTCCAGTTGGTGAAGTTTATTTTTTTCTCTTACTTGTCTTTCTGAAAGACGAGAAGAAGTTCACGGAGAAGCACAGCGAGTATTAAGGTGTCTTCCTGGTAGAAACAAAAAAGAAAGTGCTTCCAAGCAGATGCCTTCCTTTCCAGAAATGGTGTATTATATCCAAGAAAAGGTGCGGCTTTTAATTGTAGACAGTTTGATTGGAACATACAGTGGGTGATGAAAATAAAAATAAAAAATTTTAAAAGTTTAAAATGTAATCTCTATGTTGAACAGTAAAGTTTCTAGCAATGTTAATATTTATAATAAGAGAGAGGTACAAAGTGAAGAAAAATATAATTCTTAAATATAATGGATTTGTTTCACCTAATCTGAGTGACTGATTCCTTTTATGCTCACCAACATTTTGGCTATGTTTAAGATTTTTCCCTTGTTATCACATACTTAAAAATACATCTTTTGTTTCTGTTTTACTTTTTATTTTTTGTTGCTCAGGTTATTAAATCCAGGTCCTTGTTAGGCAAATGTTCTACCACTGAACCATATATCCCAAGCCCTTACTTTTTATTTTTTAGGATATTATTTAGGGTACCATAAATTTAAGAATGCTTTAGGGAGAAGTCAAGATATTTCCACTATGATGGTCCTGTCTGCTTTTGCACAGGGTTTTCTGCTGCTGAGTACTGGCAGTAATGATCCCCAGTTCTGGCTGTCCCACTTTCTACATTAGTAGTTCTTTGGCTATGTTGGAGCATACTTTACTGATGTTTCTAGGTTTTGGCTAGGTAGGCACCATAGGGAGTGATCTGGAGGTCAGTATGCAGCAGCCATTATTCTCTTTCCCATAACACAGTCGTAATTTGTGGTCTGAAGATAGCCTATGCTGCCTCCATTCGTTATGACGTTCAGTGGCCTGGGGTTGACCAGTCAGTAGATGTCTGGAGTAGCTTTGTTCTTTTTAAATAAACCAGGAAAAACCATATGGAGAAAAGGTAACACACCTGTCATTTAGGGTGTGAGGGATATACATAATCAGCAGAATTAATGGGAGAATGTTTTGTATAGAAAGATACAAACTGTTGACAATAATGTAGGCAGAAATACAGTTATTTTGACTTGAGGAGAGGGTGCATGTGCTCCGTTATTCAGTAGTTGTGTTTCTTTGGGGTTTATGTTTATTAGGCTTCTCATCGAATGAAAACTCCAGTCAAATACATGACCGGGACCACTGTCCTTCCGTTTAACCCAGCAGCATTTGGAGAGGTAGGACTTTTATATTTTCTGTTTGCTTCTATAAAGGTTCTAAAAGATAATACCATATCCAAAGAGATGTGTGTGATCTTTTTGTGTCATTGCTAAACCCATATTAAGGTGTCATTGTTTTTTTTCTGGGATGTTTATTTAGTATAATTCATAATTATACTATTATTATTATATTGCAGTGAGGGTTTTTTTTTTTGGCGGTGCTGAGATCAAACCCCAGGCCTCATTCATGCTAGGCAGGTGCTGTCCCATGGCTGTACATTCCCATCCCTCAGAGAGATGATGGTTGGGAAGGATCCAGGTACTTTGTGTCAGTTACTGTTGAGCTTTTGCAGCAAGTTAGATTTGACTTTTAAAGCAAATACATTGTTGAAGTTGTTAGGGTTTTCTAGGCTTAAAGTTTAGAGAGGATAAATTCATCACATATATTAAAGGAAGTTTTGTTTCAGATGACTGATGTGCACTAATTAAATTACAAGAAGCAATGTTGTTCATAGTTGAGTAAAAATAGAGATAGGGTATTGCTCAGTGGTATAAGGCATATGCCTAGTGTATGAAAGAACCTGGTTCAATATCCAGAACCAAAAGAAGTTGAGTTTGCATTTTAACTTCATTAAGAAAACATCTTTTGGATTTGTGAAAGCTTGTTATATAAATTTTGCTTCATTGTCACTTTACTGACTTTCATGAGAATTTGAAAGTCTTTATGAAGGAGGGTGGGGATGTCAAAACTAGAAATTGTCACTTCGAAGAGGACTTTCCCATACTGATTTTTTGAGAAGTTTATCTGGCATTCCTTTGCCTTCTGGTTTTAGATTGTTCTGTACTTGCGCATGTGCCTAGCTCATAGTGCAGGGGTGGTGCCCACTTCTCAGAGTTTGGCTGATATGCAAGATCACGCTCCAGCCATTGGACGCTACATACGAACTTTAATGTCAAGCAGCCAGATGACAGCTCCATCATCTTCTAATAAGAGTGGAGAAACCAACCCTGTTCAGATCTACATTGGCCTGCTTCAGCAGCTGTTAGCAGGTGTTGGAGGTAGGATGTTATGATGCCAAGAAAAGGTATTAAAGCACTTAAGCAAAAATTTAAATTTACATTCAGCTAAGAATTTATAGCATTTAATCTTCCTCTTCATTTCTCTGATGATTAGTATTTGCTTCTTTTTTAAACTTATCTCAGTTATTCCTTGATATATATTTTTTCTTCTTCTGCTTTTTTTTTTTTTTGACATAAGGTCTCATTTGAAGCCAAGCCTGGCCTAGAACTTGTGATCCTCCTACCTTTGCATCAGGAGTGCCCCAGCAAGCCTGGCTTTTGATACAGTATTTCTCTTTCCAGAAAGAAATGTTGACAGTGGATATACATTTTTATTTTGGAAGTGGATGTGAAAAGCAGGATATCCTTTGATAGACAACTAATCTGTAAATTTACCCTATTGAATCACATCCTATATTTAGCAGAACTGAGGGAATTTGTGTGTAAGCAATAACCTCACACTTAAAGGAATTTGGTAATCCCTGTATATTCATTCCTTTTCTTGAAATTTAAACTGGCTCTCAATTCTTATTTAGGTTTGCCAGTCATGTACTGTCTATTAGAAGCTGTGTCAGTGTATCCAGAAAAATTGGCTGCCAAATTTGTAGACAAAACAGAATGGATAAAGGTATGTCCTGTGCCCATGTATTTCTCTTTAAATCCAGTTATTTCAAATGTTACCTCATGATTTCTTTTTCCTACCAGTGTTTCTGTGACGTTTTCTACTTTAGGTCATTTTGAAAGTTCCCTATAATCAAATACGTAGTGGAGAACATGTAAGTTAATACAGCTCATTGGTCTACCTTGATGAGGACGGAAGATGAAATTGAGAAGTCATATTTGTAAAAAGAATTCTTTGTTGCAAGTGTTTTTTAAAAATAAGCAAATAGAGTTGTGTAGTTAAAATATATGTAAAATGTCTGCTTTTCATAAATGTCTTCTACCTACCCAAATTCCCCCAAGTGTTCTATCCTTTCCTCTCCTGCTCTGTCAGATATACATAGCATATTCCTTATTTTTATGTGATGAGCCTTCTAGAATTTATTCATACATGTACATACAAAACATTGTGTTTAAATTTTTTTTCCTTTCTTTTACACAAAAGTTAGCATACTATTCACACGGTTTTGTACCTTCCTTCTTTCACTTAACAGTAAAACTTGGAGCCCCTCTATATGGAAAGAGCTCCTGTTTATTTTAGCAGCTTCATCATTTTCCATTCTGTGATTTATTCTGGATCCTTATTGGTGATCATTTAGGATACTTCTAGTCTGCTGCAATGAATAATGCCATTTTGCATATGAGGAAGTATGACTGTTAGATGGATTTCCCAGAAATGGAATTTCTGGCTCAGAGGATGCATGCTTTTCTAATTTTCTTTCTTTCTTTCTTTCTTTTTTTTTTTTTTTAACTCAGGTCTTTGGATTTGCTAGGTAGGCACTCTACTGATTGAGCCACACCTCTAGCCCTCTTTGCTCTGGTCATTTTGAAGATAGGGTCTCACTTTCTGTCCGGGCTGGCCTGGTCCACAATCCTCTTATTTTAGGCTTCTTGCTATTGCTGGGATGACAGACATGCAACACCAAGCCTAGCTTTTTTCCATTGAGATGGGATCTCTCAGACTCTCTGCCTCCCCCGAGGCTGGCCTGAAACCATAGTCTTTCTGATCTCATCCTCTCAAGTAGCTAGAATTATAGATGTGAGTCACTGATGCCAGACTTGCCTTTGTAATTTTGATAAATAATGCCACACCCTCCATGTGGGTAGTAGTACCAAGATATGCCTCCATTAGGCATGATGAGAGTATTCTTGTCCAGTGGTCATATCAAGAGCATTACCAGGCTTAGCAAATAAAAATGTAAGTTAAATCTGAATTTCAAGTAAACAGTGATCAAATTTTTTGGTATATATATGTATGTACCAAATGAGTTAAAGTCAATGATAGAGATATATATGTAGATATATATATGGCTCATACCATTTTATATACTTCTTGGGCTTTGTAATGCAGTTCTTGCTGGGAAATGTGCTTGAGTTACAGTAAAATCTAATAAGACTATATCTTTAAGTATGAAAATATGAGTGTAATTTACCCAGAGATGTGAATTTTGCATTTTTCTAGAAAATCTGGTCTCATCAAATTGCTTGTAGTTTAAGATGGATTTTAATTCTTTATGAGTATTTCCTGACTTAAAAATAATCCTGTAGCTTTTGAGTTTTGATCCTCTAGTAAAAGGTGAAAGATTTACGTAATATGAAGAGAATTCAGAGTATGAATTTCAGTCTTGTGTATAATGGTCCATGAGCTAAATATGGCTTGACTCCTGTTTTTTATGATATGGAAGCCAAGAATGCTTTTTACTTTTTTTTGTTTTCTTACTTATTTTTTATGTTGGGATTGAAACCCAGGGCTTTGCACATACTAGGCAAGCACTTTACCTGTAAGCCACATCCCCAGGCCTTTTATATGTTTAAATGGTTGAAAAAAATTTTATGATGTGAAAACTGTAGTAGTCATAACTTTTTTGAACACAGCCATGCCAACTTGTTTACATATCGTCTGTGGCTGCTCTGGTGCTGCAGTGGCAGAATGGAGTAATTTTAGTCTTGACCACTTGGCTCACAAAGCCTGTTTGGTCCTGTGCTGAAAAAGTTTGCTGACCTCTGTTTTAGATCATCTGTGTATTTATTTCACTTGTGTTGTACTTTTGTGTCTTTTATGACAATGTACCTAAGAGTTTGATATTTAATTTAGCTTTCATTATGCTTTGAAATAATAGCATACTGTATTTGTTGCTCATAGATACCAATAGATTGAACACTAAAATGCATCACTTATTTTTGTAATTTTAAATGTTCGATGGCAGTAGGAAGATGGCTAAATATCATGGATATATTTCTTTTCTTTCCTGTTCAGAGTCTGATGAATAGCAGTAAAGAAGAAATGCGTGAATTGGCAGCATTGTTTTATTCTGTGGTCGTATCAACAGTGTCAGGAAATGAATTGAAGTCAATGATAGAGCAACTTATAAAAACTACAAAAGACAATCATGTATGTTATCAGCTTTGTCTTCATTCATTTTTGAAAAAAGATAGGGTTTTACAAGTGTCTAACCTGTTTTTAGTTTTTGAGTTCCCATTATAAAATGAACTTATACATTCCTTGCTTCTATGGTTATAAAGATTAAGTGAGGTAGATAATATATTGATTCAGTTTATTTAACAGATTTGAATGCTGTGTCTGAAAAGCACTAATTTAGATACTGTGAGTACAGTGGTGGGGAAATATGTGAGAATTCCTAGTACCTGGTACTTAGAAATGCTGCCTCCTTTTTTCTTCCACATCTCCTGCCACTGACCACTATGCCTGTAACAAAAACAAAAACAAACAAAAAACCCTGTGCTTTCAAGTAGTTTTATTGGCTACTTTGTGTTTGGAGTTTTTAGCAGTTAGAAATAGAACCTATTTACTCATTGTATGTATTTTGTTGGCAATAGGAAGAGCTCATGCTTGAATATTTCGATAGGGTAGCTACCCATGGAACAAACTGGAAGAAAGCCTAAGTGTCATGGATGTGTATGAGATTATCTAAATCTTGAAGTAAAGCAAGTCTGAGCTTAACTTCTCAGCATTCTCTGTTAGGAAACTCTTCAGTTTTTCTTGTTCCCTAAGTTTGAAGCATTAACATCCAGCAGAATCCAGAGTGATCACTTTATTTTTTAGCCTCATGTTTTATCAGAGACATTATAATACAATTGTTTCAGTGTCATCTTTCATGTGTGAGAGACAGACGTATGCTATTGTGTTATTAAATTCAGAGCCCTGAGGTACAGCATGGATCCTTGCTTGCATTGGGATTCACAGTGGGAAGATACTTGGCTAAGAAGAAAATGAGAATGACTGAGCAGCAAGAACGAGAGGCAGATGCTGACTTCCTGCCTGATCAAGAGGAGCTTATTCAGAGTGCCACGGAAACAATAGGTCTTTAATGTCTATGCTGATTTACTGTTGCATGTTTGAATTATGTTAAATTTTAATATAGCTTTTTAATTTCTTACTACAGTTCTTCCCACCTCCCGTCTTCCTTCTTCTTTCCTTTATTGATTGATTGATTCATTTTTTGATCTGTTGATACGAAGTCTAATTATGTAACTCAGGCTGTCCTGGAACTTGCTATGTAGCCCCAGCAGGATTTAAACTTGTGATCCTCTTGTTTCAGCCTCCACAGTGTGCTGGGATTACAGATTCGTGCCACCATTCTGGGCTCAGTGTTATATTTGAAATGCACAAGTTTTCCCACAAAATACTGATACTAAATAATTCTGTATTTTTAGTGAAAATGAAAGTATTTTTTTATTGTACTTTTTTCCTGTGTGTTTCCATATGTCAGTGGTGAGTCTGTTGCCCTGTGACACGGTGACTTACTACTGAATAGATGTTATCAAGTAGTCAATTAGAAGATGTTGTAGACTTTGATTTTGTTTTACTGTCTTAAAAAATCTAATACATTGCTGGTTGTTTTAGATAACAAGGATAAATAATATATTATTCTCTATTTTGTCTAAATATGCTTACAGGTTCATTTTTGGACAGTACGTCACCCCTCTTGGCAATTGCTGCCTGTACAGCCTTGGGTGAAATTGGCAGAAATGGTCCACTCCCAATCCACAGTGAGGGATCTGGTTTTACTAAGTTGCATCTTGTAGAAAGCTTGCTAAATAGAATTCCTTCCAGTAAAGAAACAAATAAGGCAAGTCTCTTTCTTTTTTCCTTTCCTTTCCTTTTGGAATTCTGTCTTTCTATTCATAGATATGTAAATGAACAAAACCAAATTTTAATGAGGATACATGGCATTGCAGCTGGAAGAAGTACTTGCTAATGTAAAAAGGAATGGTAAAGTTGAAGGAGAAAGCTTAAGTGTTTGCTTTTGAGTTAGGAATTTGTATAAATGGTAGTGTGTGCATCTTTTGACCCAACTATTCATTCCAGTTTAGGCCCTCAACTGTTAAGATTTAAGGGAAAATTAAATTCATCAGGAAATCTCTTTTGTCATACAAACAGTAGATAATAAAACGTTAAGTAGTTTTATGATTTTTCATTTTTAAATCTCTCATAGTCAGTATGGTTTTTAAGAAGTCTGGACATTAAGAAGTAATGAATAATCTGAGGGAAAGGACATGTATAGTTTTTAATGTTTATATAAATGTTTTATAGACTTTAAATATCTTTGTGTTTAAAGCACCTCAATGTTGAAGAACAAGAAGATTTAATGAACAGAAAAACCAGTTTACTACAAGTTTACAAAACATGATCATCTTGTTCTTTGACTAGCCACTGTTTAAAACTTTCTGAGACAATCACACAATATAGTTTTTATTGGCTATTACTAACCAGTCATCATTACCAACCACTGTTAAGCACGGTAATATGCCAGGGAGTGTGCTAAGGACTTGCCACACATTAAAATTGAGTCCTCCAAAAGGTTTAGTGAAGTGAGCACAGTTGTCATCTCTGTGTTAGGTAACATGAGGAAGGGTCACAGAGAGGTGAAGTAACTAGTCTAAAGACTACTAAATGGTGGCAGGTGACTTGGTTCCAGGTCCTCTGGGCCCAGAGGATATTTCTAGTCATGACATTTTAAAGGATAATAAACATAAAGGCTTTCTTCTTTCTTTCTTTTTTTTTGTAGCTTTGGGTTCTTTTTTTTAAATTTTATTTAGGATATATTTGCTGAATGGGGGATTCATTGTGACAATTCTGAATAGGCTTTCAGTGTACATTGGCTGGATTGCCCCCATTATCCTACCCCTCCCCCCCCCACCCCATTTAAAGCAATTCTAAGAGGCTTCATTGTTCTGTTTTGTCTAAGTATTTGAAGTGCTGTGGGTTTTTAATGGACTCAGTTTTATGTCTTTTAGTCTTCAGTATCTTGTAGACATAATACTGTAAAATTAGCTGCTTTTGCAAAAACTATAGGTATCAGTGTGTTAGATAGACTGCCTCTCCCTACACTGTTCTGGGGGTGGATAAAACTTTTAAGTACTTTGTTTAAAAGAAATTCTATGTTTTTCCAGATGAAAGAACGAGCAATCCAAACATTGGGCTATTTTCCAGTTGGGGACGGGGATTTTCCTCATCAGAAACTCCTCTTGCAAGGCCTAATGGATTCTGTGGAGGTATTGGTACTGCTATTTGATTGTTGATCGAATAGAAAGTGTATTTTAGTTTTAATTTTGCATAGGAAAGCATTTATCACAGCTTCTGTTGCCCACTAGGCTGAATGTGGAGTCTGTTTTGTTCACCATTCTAAGTGTCTGGCAGTGGTAGGGTCTCATAAATATTAGTAGAGCAAGTAAGTGAATAGGGAGGTGTTTGCACAAAAGGCAGGCGAATCCCAAAGGAGCAGAGCTTGTTCTTGGGCCTTGAAGGATGGAAGTTAGAAAAGAAGAGACTCAAAGCTAAGGACTGAGGCAGCCGAATAAGAGCTAGTGTTAGAACTCAAGCCTTTGGATTCTTAGTTCAGTTTTTTTTTTTTTTGGTGGAATGAGGCATTGAACCCAGGGCCTTGTCCATGCTAAGCATGCTCTCCACCTGTGATGCATCCCCAGCCCACTCACTGTTTTTAAAGTGAACTTTATTCATATCAGATTCTCCCTGGATGTTGGTAGCATTGTAACCACTTGGAGAGAAGCTTATGATCTCTGCCTTTTCATGTTTTTCCTGTGTAAAATTTGTTGTAGTTTTGTTTAAATAAATAAAGTCTTGCCTAGATTCTTAACTTGATTTTCATGCTGTTATTTTAAGAGTTTAGAAATACAGAAATACATGAAAAGCTAGAAACATGGAAATGATATGAAGATATGGATAATGAAGGAAAATGTACAAATCAAAGAAGACGAGTATCTTCACAGTTAATGAGTTTAAAGTGCTAAAGTCTTTTTGTTTATTTTAACTTTTTGTTTTGGCTATTGTTTTTTTGTGGTACTGAGGATCAAATACAGGGCCTCAAGCATGCTAAGCAAGTGCTCTACCACTGAAAACATGCCCAGTCCCTATTCTAACTATTTATTATGGAAAATTTCAAATATATACAAAAGTAGAAATATAAGGAGTCACCATGTGCCTGTTTTATTTGATCTTTTAACCTCCTATTTCTGGGATATTTAAAATAAAGCTTACATATCATACTATATTGCCCATATATTTAGTCATGATATATTGGTTTTGTTTGTAATACAGACTATGTTATTAACAATAGGAAATGCGCAACAACAGGCACATGAAGTGAATCTTTGATGAAGATCCTTTGTTGAAATATCTTTTCTTATCTTGAAGGTCCCCAGAGAAGCCTTTCTGAGGGATGCTGTAGAACTAAAAGCCCTTAAATCCCTTTTCCTACACTGGGAAGCATGTGGTATTAGCATCTGATGCCATGTCAAGACTAGACGTTTAGTTGACTGAGCCCAGGAATCAACAGACTGTGTGTTTTGTGGGGTCACTGTCCATGTCTTTCACATGCTGCCAGTTTGTCATTCCCTTTTTATTCCTCTTGTTCTTAAATTTCTTCTGATTCACAGCAAACAGAGAAAAATGCCAGATGGAACCTAGGTCCAATTCCATGTTGGTCAGTGATTCATACTTCTAAAGCATCTCAAAGCTTCTAAATCATATTTTATAAATTTATTTAAATATGAGTATGTACTATGTAAGATTTTTAATGTTTATCCTTTGAAACAATTTCACACTTAAAGTTGTAAGAATAATGTAATAACCTTTATTCAGATTTTAACATTTTACATTTGATTTGTCACTATTTTTTTCTAAATCATTTGAGAATAGCTCACAGTTACATAATTTAAGAAAGTGAAGAGTTCTAATAAAGTAAGTAATTGTTAGTAAACTCTAATGGCTACTATTTATTGTGTAGTTACTACAATCAGGCATAATGGATAGTAGATGTTTTATATAAATTAGCTTCATTTAATCCTTATGGCCTGATGGTACCTTGCTCATTTACTAATGAATTGTTGATGCTCGGAGTTTAGATAAGGGAATGTAGCTGGTGAGAGACAGAGCTATAGTTTGCATTGAAATATGTACAGCTTCAAAGTTGATGGATGATCTGTCCTTCTAGGTGAACCATGTCATATTTCCAAAGGTTAAAAAATCATGGTGTAGTAGTTATGTCCTGAGAGTGAGAAGCATAGGGTAGACCTGCCAAAATACCTTGAAGTTATTCCTACATTCTCCATTCCCTCACTCTACCCTGCTTTTGAATCACTGAGTTAGATGAAAGCAACTAAAGCAAAGAATGAAAATAAAACATACTGAGAAATAAGTTATTAAGCAGCTTTCTACAGAAATGAATCTTTTGGGGGAAATTTTCTCTCTCAATCATGGCTTTTGTTTTTCATTGCAGGCCAAGCAGATAGAACTTCAGTTTACTATTGGTGAAGCCATTACCAGTGCTGCAATAGGAACTAGCTCCGTGGCTGCCCGAGATGCCTGGCTGGTGACAGAAGAAGAATATACTCCTCCTGCTGGTACCAAAATTCACCTAATCAATTTGTAATCACCAAGTAACTCTTTTCTGTTCTCTTTTAATCACATTCGAGGCAAAATGGTCTTGAATTGACTTCCTTACTTCATGTATCTGTTTGAATCCTCATGGAGGTCATTGATCATTTTAAAAACTAGACTTGAGTTTTTTTGCCAGGCATTTCAGCTATTTCATTATCTCTGTTATTGAGGAGTTACGAGTTTTTAGAGGAGTTATATTGCCTTGACTTTTCATATTTCTTGTGTTTCTGTGTTGCAATTAGTGCATCTAGTGGAATGGATATGTCTTTCAGGGTTTTTTCCCTTTTTATTTTAAGAGGGTCTCCTTAGTGGACAGCCTTCACTTTGGGTTATGATACCCTACTACTACTCAGATGAGAGGAAGCAGATAATGGTAACAAAAATAATAATTTGAAAACAAACTAGATATTTAAATGTAGTAATAAACAAATGGAAACATCAACTATACCCCCAATAAGGTTAGAAAAGAAAGGAACTAAGGTACTTAAAGGATAAACTAGGAGTTTAAAAATTATTAACGCTTAAGGGGAAAGGAAAAAGAAGTAGCAAGATAGGACAGAGAGAAAAAAATGTATGGGATAAAGATATAAGAAATAATAGTGAGGGAGAACACAATAAAATAAGTATGGAGAAAAAACAATCACAGATAAGAAAGAAACAAAATGCCCACCAGTCAATATTTCTTCCTTGCTGAGAGGAGAGTATAAATCCCCCCATTCTTGTCTTTTTGCAGTTTACTTTTTGTGGTGGGACAGCTGTTGTTCTTTCTGAAGTCCAAACAAGTTAGAGCAGAAAGAGTTGTATGTAGCCTGGCCCCTAGCCTGTCTTCCTTGTTGGGTAAAACTACTATGCAGGAACTGCCCTCACACTGCTCCCACCAACTGAGCCTGAATCTCTCCAGTCCTCAGGAAGTATTCAAAACAGTCAAACCACAGTAGTTTGTGCTGGCTGGGCAAGGCATGGGGCTGTGATTGATTCCGTCCCTGGCTCTGCAGTTTGCCATCCTAGCACTGAGGCTCATGTTCACACACATCTGGTCTCTTTCTTCTTAGCAGAATTTTTGGACTGCAACTTTGACAAAGTTTTCACCCTCTACTTCCTTTGTGGTGACCTTCAGCTTCCTTCTGTGACATGGCTAATACTTTCTAGCCACATAAATGTGTGTTCGTGAATCTGAACCCAAGTCACAACCAGTTTCCTGGGTTCACAGATTGTTGGGTGGTTGCTTGCTTAGCCAGTGGAATAGGGGAGGCCTTTAATGTTTGGAGTCCTAAAAGTGCAGAGTCTTCTTACTGTCTCCGGCTGAGGTGTTTGGCCATAAATTCTCTCCTAAGATGATTTCCCTCTATGGCACCAGTGAGCAAACGAGGACGTGTGGGGGTTCCTTTTCTGGCTTCTGCTTGCAGTGTTGGTGTTCAGATCTCTTGTCTTAAACTTTATTGTTTGCACAGTGCCAGCTGATGCACCTGTGAATCTTCTGAGGCTTTCCTTTTCATTTTTGCTTGCACCCCTTCTGGGGGAATTCTACCCCTTCCCTATTGTTTTGCTTAGCACTCTATGTTAGAGTTCCTTTTTCTTTTATAAATCTAAAGTATTTCTGGATTTCACTTGATTAGTGTCTACTGTTTGCTGTTGCCCTCCTTTGCCCTCCTACCACCACACACCTCTCCCTGCAGCCACACCCCTGATGCTTTCAGATTTGTGGAGATGCAGGCAAGTGGTGTGTGTGTCTAATTTAGCATCTTGCTACTTATGCTAGGTTCTTAAGTGAATAAAACTATACTTTAGTCTTTTGGATTTTAGTATGTTATAAGATTATTGTATTGAGTAATGTTGATATAAATTTTTTTTTAGGAAGCTACACTGAATTATTTTAATTTTCTTATTTATTTGCGTTTTCCCAGGAGCCAAAGTGAATGATGTGGTTCCGTGGGTATTGGATATTATTTTAAATAAACATATCATCAGCCCAAACCCACATGTGAGACAAGCAGCCTGTATCTGGCTCCTTTCTCTTGTGAGGAAGCTAAGTACACATAAAGAAGTGAAGGTAAGCCATGCTGTACATGTGATTATCCCTGTTGGGAGCTACACTATTTATAAGTAGAAAGTGGGAGGCAAAGTGAGGGTGAGGGCTATTAAGCAATATCAGGATTTTGGAATAACTTACATGTGAAGGATAAAGGATGAAGGCCTGGTAAGCGTTGACAGGAAGGTGACCTGAAGTCCAAAGTGCTGAGGATGGGGAGGTGTGGATTGCAGCATTGCTTAGAGTGTATGTGTGTGTTACATGACCTGTAAGGGGCATGACTTCAGGTATTTAGGACATCTATGAAGATATGGACACAGAAGGGCTCGTGACTACCTTGATCATAAGATTTCACAACCTTAAGAGCAAGATTCTTACTTCTCAGGGTTCTAATGCCTTTTTTCTTCTTTTAGTCTCATCTTAAAGAAATTCAGAGTGCATTCGTTTCTGTTCTCTCAGAAAATGATGGTAGGTTGCTGGTAAATACTTGCAAACCTTATTAATCTTTTTAAAAAAAATTTTTAAAGTATGGATTAATGAACCACCACCACAACAAACATTTTGAGCTCCATGAGTAAAAGGAAATTACCAGCCAGGTATGGTCGTGCATGCCTGTAATTCCAGCACTTGGGAGACTGAGGCAGGAAGATCACGAGTTTGAGGCCAACCTGGGCTACATTAGTGAGTTCTAGGCCTGCTTGGCTATGTCACAAGACCGTGTCTTAAGTGAAACAAAACAACAAAAAAGAACTTAATTAGTATTAAGGGTAGTCATGTCAGTGGCTAAAAATAAAAAGAAAAATTCTAGTTAAGGTACAGGAAATTTGAATTCTTTTTTAATATAAATTAGAACTTGTTTTTCATCTTTCCATTTAAAAATGGAGCTGAGGCCACCTGTAACATTAGAGCCTCTCCTAACTAAGAGTGGTCTTGTACTTCTAGTTACTTTTCCTCTCTGCTTGAGACTGGGAGAGTGAATGTGTTTGACATTTTAATAGTGGCAGTTTTAAGAGAACCTTTTTTGAAATCTATGGTCTTGTATTACCTTTTCATTTTTACAGAATCAGATGTGGGTTTGAAATCCTGTGGAGGCTGTTTTATCTGTGACTGTACAACTGAAACTGCTGTTCTGTCACTGTGCAGCTCCATATGATATGGATCTTCTGTGGTGTAATTCTCTTTAGTGACTCATGCTGCTATACCCACTAAGATGGTTTCGTATGTTTTTAGCAAAGTAGGCAGAATGATTCTGTTTTCATAGCTTTTACCCTGATATCATTTTAGATTAACTTAGTGGCCAGGAGACAATTTATTTTTAAAGTAATATAATTTTTTTTGACTTTTCTGTAGAACTTAGCCAAGATGTTGCCTCAAAAGGCCTGGGGTTGGTTTATGAACTGGGTAATGAGCAGGATCAACAGGAATTGGTATCTACACTTGTAGAAACACTTATGACTGGCAAAAGGTACGGAAAATTTGAAAATTTCTGATTTGAATACAGGCCCTGTATGTGTTCATACTGAGAATGTTTGGAAGAAGGAAAATTTGCTTTCCATTTTCTTATTTACTAAGCCTGCAAGTCAGTGATTGTTACTTTTATTATTCCAGTGTGTAGTTTTTACTTTAGAAATGTGCCAGTGTGTTTCAAAAGTTGAATGGCCCCAGGACAATTAAAGTATTGGATTAGAAAATGCCATAATTACTTCTGGTTAAATGAAAATGGAGGTGTGGAGAAGCAGCTTGCACATCATTGATAGTTTGGCCTGTGACGTATAAAGTGGGGGAAATCGCTCTTGTAATTGGTTGCTACTTTATATTTGCCTTCCTTGTAGGAAGAATAGCTTTTAATATGTGACCACATTCAGTGCAGTGTAACTTTGTATGAAATGTCTTTTATATCTATTAATTTGTTCAGTCTACATTTTCTCTAGCCTGATGGAAAAGAATAGTTTACTTTTATATCTTCCACGTAAGAGACACTTGCCAGGGAGTTGAGTTTTATCAGTTTATTAGTGAAATGTATCCATTTGTTGAATGCTAGTATGGGAAGTTTGACATTAATTTAAACTCTTTGTTATTTTGGTTTAGAGCTAAGCATGAAGTTTCTGGAGAGACAGTGGTATTTCAAGGGGGAGGCCTTGGCAAAACACCTGATGGGTAAGTGTGCCAAATCCATTGATCAATTACTAATAAATACCTTAATTTTTTTTTCATTCTGTTAAGTAGAGCAATCATAAAGTTGATTTCTACCCTGTTAGGCGATGTTGTTTGTTCGTGGAAAAAGAAACACACAGAAAAAGCCTTCTGTCTTAAATTAGGTTTCCTGGGAAACAGACTCTGAGATGGATATTTGGATGCAGGAAGTTTTTTGAAGAGTTCCCAGGGGGTTGTTTAGGGGAGTGAGCAGGTGGGATAGAGCTGATGGCAGAGGACAGTGCTGAACTGCTGCCCTAACCTCATCAGATATTGAACTCTTCAGGAGCTGTGAGCGGGATGGAATGCCCTTCAGCATTGTCCTGCTTTGCGGCACAGAGCCTGGGCCTTTGTGTTCCCCTCATAGGCTTTGTGCCACCTCAGTGACTAGCCGCTAGTAATGGGGTTCTTTTAGGGGGTGTGGTTGTGGCCTCAGGCTGAGGACAGTTCTTGGAGACTAGGGTGAGAGCTGTCAGCTCTCAGGCAGCTGAGTCCTGAGCAGGAACCTGGCAATATAGCTTGGCCTTCAGTGCACCTAGTTTTTTAAAGGGGAACTCAGTATTTTAGAATCCACTAATTGAGTTTTTCAGTTTTATTCCTGGAGCTTTATCACTATTCCAGTGTGGTTATACTATTACTAATTTTTTCCTCTAAGAATTGTCAGGCAATGCCAGGCTATTCAGGAAGCAGAGATCAGGAGGATCATGGTTCGAAGCCCGCCTAGGCAAATAGTTTGCGAGACCCTATCTCGAAAAAAGCCATCACAAGAAAGGGATAGTGGAGTGGCTCAAGGTGTAGGCCCTGAGTTCAAGCCCCAGAACTGCAAAAAAAAAAAAAGATTGTCAGGCAAATGTGTACAACTTTCTCTGTTTTGCTGTGGTGTCTGCAACAGGAGAAAGGTGCAGGTTGGTATGTCTTTATGCTCTCCTATAGCTCACTATTCACGTCAGAAGTTGCTCTCATTCCACTTATTCTTATAGATGCCTTCTGAGGTGTTTTTTTTTTTGTTGTTGTTGTTGTTTATTTTGTTTTGATGGGTCTTGTTATGTTATCCAGGCTGGCCCCAAGCTCCTGGGCTCAAGTGAGCCTCTCCTGCCTTAGCCTCCTGAGTAGTTGAGACTAGAGGTGCAAGCCATTGCCTCTGGTTTCCTTCAGAATTTTTGAAAAGGGCTCATTTGTCATAACACAAAATGATCAGATATTTGAACAAATACTATTTTTCATTCAGGACTCAAATACTGTTTTTCATTCGTTAACAGGACTCAAAGTTATCATTAGGATTAGAGTGGTGGGGAGGACGGATGTTGTCTTCAAATGTCTCTCATGATTCTGAGAGAGATTTATGCATAATATAATGAATTATTGAGTTGTCCTCCAAGGTGATGAGAGCTCCACTTGCATGGCACATGCAGGTGCATTTAGATTATTTATCAGCAGCAGTTTAGAGGGTGTCAGGAATTGTTGGTAATTAAAGTATATGGTTTTTATATTCTTCTCAACCTACTGGTCTGTCTCCTTAGTGATGAGAAAACTAAATATTATAAGTTGAATTGAAAATACAATTTTTAAAGGGTGTAGTGTTATTGGGGTGTAATTTGGATTAGGCAGAAGTTAGAGAAATATCATATTGCATACTTCTTTTTGTTTCCAAGCCAGGGCCTTTCTACGTATAAGGAGCTGTGTTCTTTGGCAAGTGATCTTAGTCAGCCAGATCTGGTGTATAAATTTATGAATCTGGCCAATCATCATGCAATGTGGAACTCAAGGAAGGTGAGTTGCCATCACAGGTCAGTTTTCTGTATTTAGTTGTGTTAGAGATTGAGCCCAGGGTCTCACTCATGCTAGGCAAGTGTTCTACCACTGAGCTATACCCCAGCCTCACTGGACAGTTTTATTTTTTACTTCCTCTACAACTAGGCATGCTACATTATCAGATAGTCCAGTTGGTGTGTAGTGCGTTTTGTGAATGGCTGTACCTGAGAGGTAAACTACCACACAACTGCTAATATTGGGGAAGTTAAGACACCCAGTAAATTAGACTGTATTTAGGAACAAGGTTGGGAGGAAGGATTTTGTGGTCCTCATGTATTTAATATGTTCCATTTGATCATTTTACTGTTATTTTTAGGGTGCTGCTTTTGGGTTTAATGTAATTGCTACCAGAGCTGGAGAACAACTGGCTCCTTTTCTGCCTCAGCTGGTCCCTCGTCTTTATCGTTACCAGTTTGATCCCAATCTTGGCATTCGACAGGCCATGACAAGTATTTGGAATGCATTGGTCACTGACAAATCAATGGTAAGTAGCTATGAACCCCTCCCTTGTTTGTGAGGAAAATACAGTAGCTTGTTTGTGGTCCCTCAAGGATTTAAACCCTGTACTCATCTTCTTTTCTACTTTGTATACTTATTTGTTTAAAATAAATATACCTTATTTCATTCCTTGCTTTTTTCTTTCAAAGCAATCTCAAAAAAGGAAGCAATCTGAATGTCTTGTGGGTGGGTGTTAAGGGAATAGAATGACAGTATATTTACACAAATGGAATACTATGTTGATAGGTATTATGGGCGCCATGGAGAGCTATTTACAGTTCTACCTTTAAGGAATTTTCTTAGTTGGGGAAACAGGCAAGGAAGCAGGCAGTTCTCGAATATTGTTTTCTCTCTTGGTTTTCTATAATCTGCCTGTTTCCCATATTCTGTCCCACTTTTAAATATTAGAATTCCTCAGGGCTTGCCCCTGAGTAGCTGTTGGTCTTTTAGTTTTCTTTATATCAATTCCAAGGCTTATAAATGTCATTGTTATTGGGATGTTTCTCAGTCCTGTATTTCTGGCTCAGAAGCAGTATATGTTCCAGACTAGCATATCTAATTGTCTGCTTGACATCTTCATTTGAGTATGAAGATATCATAAACCTAACATGTCCAGAACAGGACTTTATAAAAACAACCTTCCTACTCCATTTGCCTCACTGTTCACACTTTCACCCAAGCCAGGGGACTTGGTGTTACCCTTGATTTTTGTCTGTATCTTACTCCTTTCCACACCTGGTCCATCTGCAATTTCTGTTCATTTTGCTTCCAAAGTGTTCCTTGAAGCACCTCTCTTTTTTTCCCTAATTCTTTCCTGATGACTAGATAATCATCATCTTTTTCTTCTGTTTGCCTTCCTTTACTTAACTGTCTGCACAGTAGCAAATGTGATTTTTTAAAAGTAGAAATTGGATTGTGCCATTTTGAGTTAAAATCCTAGAGTGGCTTTGTAGTTCACTTTGTTCTTGTGGTGCTAGGATTTGAACCAGGTCCTTATACATGGTAGGCAAATGCTCTACCACTGATCTACACCCTGAGGCACCCCCATCCCCATTTTTTCTAACAGAGTCTTGCTATATTGTCTTGGCTCACCTTGAATTTTTGAGCCTCCTGTTTCTGTCTTCCGAGTACTTGAGGTTATAGGCATGTGCCACTGTCTGTGACTTGCAGTTCACTTTAAATAAAGTCCATCGTCTCTACCATGGGTTACAAGCTCCTGCACATAGTGTAGACCTGTCCTCCTCTATCTGACACTAGGTTGAGTGTATTTTTGTTCATCATGGTAGGGACTTGAGCATTCAGCTTTGAAGGTTCAGTGAGTTCCCATTGCTCTAGGAGAGTATGTGGTACCTCTCAGTCAGCCAAGTCCTAATAGGTCATTGGACCATGTAGATCTGAGTTCAGGCCTCACTCAGCCTTGGGCTCTTGAGATGTGAATGACATCTCTGAGTGGATGAAAGGTGGAAAGCATTGTAGTGATGAGATTATCTATGAAGATAGAAGGGACATAGGAAAGCATTAGTTTGTTTAGTTTTAGTTAAGTTATTTACTTCTCTGTCTTGGTTTTTTAACATATAAATGAGCATAACAAAACATGTTTACAAGTAAAAATAAAAAAGTCATAAGTTATGAGTCTTTGGATTGATTAGTGTGAAAATAGTATACTGATTTTATTTATTACCAAGCTTAAAAGATCAAACTCACCTTTCATTCTGAGTAGTCATTATATTTCTCTTTGAACCAGACACTGTGGAAGGTACCAGGAACACAAAGATGCTTGAGATACTATCCCTGTCCTTGAGTTCTCCAGTGAGGTGGAGTGGTGAAGTTGTTGTATTGTCTAATATCTGCACCTTAAGGTGCTATGGCAACAGAAGAGAGCCTCGAGGCCAGTCTTCTCTGAGTGGCCTAGGAATCTTCAGGAACAAAAAGAATCAAGGAAGTAGGACATGATATTATATAGAGAGGTATTATGTGCCAAGGAGTGCAGGTGAGGCAGAATAATATATCTGTAGATCTAGATCAGTCATAGTGGACTTTATATGCATACCCAAGTTGGTGATGTGATTTTGCTCTCATGCACTGAGGAAAATAGGAGGATCAGCTTTGTATTTTACAGCGATTACTGTGACAGTAAGTAGGGAGAAAAATGTAGGCTGAGAGGCCTAGAGAGACACTTTGGCTGTTTAGTACAGAAAAGGGTCCGTATGGTTGAGAGATCAATAATTTGGCTGTTGGTAGATTTTGTATTTTTAATTTTATTCTTTTGCTTTCATTAGGTGGATAAGTATTTAAAGGAAATTCTTCAAGACTTGGTTAAGAACCTTACCAGCAACATGTGGAGAGTTCGAGAATCCAGGTGCCACTTTGGAAATAGAAGACTAGTTAAATAGAACTCAAATGTTTCCCTTGAATTTCTAAGTTTTTTACTTTGTGTAAGAAGATGTTAAGAGTACTAAAAAGCATATTTTTGGTTGAGTTAGACAGTTATTTTTCTTTAACTATTTAAATGCTGATCAGTGGTTTCCCTAAGTTATATAAGTATGAAATTTAAAAAGCTGAAGATGATTTGTTAAATTGATAGGTGTCAAGAAATATTTATGTTTTTATGACTTTATAGAATAGCATTTATATATGCAATTTATATTCATTCAGTACATATTACATGCTTGGCAGTGTACTTTATCCCCTAAGGGTACACTGGTAAGTAAAAAATGGTGTATCATTTCAAAGGGTTATATTATAGTTGTGGGAAACAAACATTTGATGTTTGTAAATGCCTAGTATGTGATATATTTAAGGTACTAACAGAATAGTTATAACTGTCTTGGGGTGAGGGCATTAGGTTTGGAAATATATATAGAATCTTACTTTATTGTTTGATATGAATGTCTCAGTAAAATATTAGCTTTTTTGATTATATATTTGAAATCAAACCTTTTATTTTCAGCTGTTTAGCTTTGAATGATTTATTGAGAGGAAGACCCCTAGATGACATCATTGATAAACTTCCAGAAATTTGGGAAACACTTTTTAGAGTGCAAGATGATATCAAGGTATTATAGAAATGAGTCTACATTTCTTTATAAAGTGGCTTAAACCCAAATTATTAAATGTTACATATTTCAAAATTCTATTTTCAGACAGTTTTAAGAACCATAATATCTTCCCCAAATTTTATCATTGATGTGTCTGTGAAGTTGCAAGGTTGGGTATCTTTAGATATAAATTGAATTGACGTTAAAAATAAATGTGGTTACAGCCTGTTTCACTTGAGATCTCATGATGCAATTGGATTAAGGACAAATAGCTATTTTGAAATAATTCATAATAGCTTTGCAATAAGCTGTCATTCACAGATTTTTTATACATGGTTTTGACCAAAAATTATTAAGTATTAAAAAAAGAAATTTCAAAACCAAAAATTTTTAATTACCATGCACATGCAGCTTAGTTCATTCAATGAAACTGTCAGTCAGTCCCATGATATTGTCAGCAGTGTTTAAATAATTTTGCTATCTGCTGTTTCCCTGCCCTTAAATTTGTGAAAATCTCTGTCCCAAAAAGCAGTTGTGCCTTAAAAAAAAGCAAGGTAAAAAAGCAAATGTGCTTAATTGAAGTGATAGAGTAAAAATTTCAGATTTGTTGAAAGGCAGCATGTCTTCAGCGGAACTTGGGTGGCATTATGGGAAAAATGATGGCATTCTCCTTGGAACCTTAGACTTTGGATACCATACTGTACTTAGATCTGTTTCATAAAATGAGCCAGTCATCCCCAAATGTGATTAATGAAAATTTCTTTGAATTTTTCTTGAGTGTTTTAGTCAGCTTCACATTACTATAACAAAATATCTGAGATAATTATCTTATAAATGTTGGGTATCTTTAGATATAAATTGAATTGACCTTAAAAACAAATGTGTGTATGCTCATGTGAATAAAATAAAAATTAAAACAAACAAACAAACAAAAAAAACAAATGTGGTTACAGCCGGACTGTTTCACTTGAGAGCTCATGATGCTGTTGGATTAGGGACAAATAACACTCCTATAAAGAGAAAAGATTTATTTTAGCTCACAGTTTTGAAGGTTCTAGTCTGTGATCAGTTGGCCTCCTGCAGGGCCAACACATCATGATGGAAGTGTGTGGTAGAGCAAAACCACTCACCTCATTGCTATGAAGCAAAGAGAAGAACAAAGAGGCCTTAAAGGGCACACTCCCAGTGACCCGAGGACCTCCTACTAGGCCCCATCTGTCAAAGGTTCTATAGAGCCTCTGGGGTCCAGGCCTTTAACACGTGAGCCTTTTGGGGACAATCAGAACCAGACTATAGCACTGGACAATTTAAATTTTAGGTATTTTGATATTCTTAAAATTAGACACTTTTAGGCTTTTTTTTTTTTTTTTTTGGGATATTTATTAGAAATTTTGTAAGTCTTTCAGAATCCCTCCCAGGTCTTATATTTGTGTCTGAACTGTTATGCTTAACAACTAAGTTTTTGTAAGGTCAAATAGGTCATACCTAATTATTTAAAAATAGTAATGCAGCATGATAATATATTCCTTGATGGGCAAAGAGCCTAATGAAACTACACACACACACACACACACACACACACACACGAAAACATATGTAGGATTTGAGGCAATTAATTGTACACTGCAGGGTACAACTTGTTTGATGCTAGACTTTTCTCATTTTTAGGAATCTGTACGAAAAGCAGCAGAATTAGCTCTGAAAACTCTGAGCAAGGTGAGAACTCCCTTCTCACAGTAGATATGGAGTGGGGAGGGTTCTGTGATCTTGATAATGCTTTCTTTTTAGTCATGAGATAACATGTCATTGGCTGCATGGTTAGTTCACTGCTATTAACAAGGGATGAGAAAGAGGGTGCTGTTACACTGTAATACTACTATTTTGAGTACAGTACAGCCTTAGTCTCTTCAAATGGTGCTTCTTTCTGCATGCCCTTCCGTAAGGTATAACTTTCACCTAACCCTGGAGGACACATGGCTTACTTAGATCAAGTGACATCTATCTTTCCTCTTACCTCCTTTCTTATTTATGAGATTGGCAAGCTTTTTGAAACTAAATAGTCTGTCACTTAAATGTGATTTTGTGATTTATCAGGGACTTTTACATTGTAATCGCATCAATGTTGCCACAGGTCACATCATTAGTAAGTAGTAAAACTAAGTTTTCAAAGTGCTTTCTTGCACATTTTCTCATTTCATCTTTAACTCTTTGGTTCCCCATTACACAAATTAGAAAAATCAAAATTTAGAGAGTAAAGTGCAATCCACGCTTCTGTGTTTAGTCAGACCTAGGACTCAACACTCGTACTCATTCTTCTGTTATACTATATAGTGTCTTACAGAGTAGACTTGTTCTCTTCCACTGATAGTGAAGTAAAAAGTGCTTTGTTAAAGGAATGCTTTATTGGTTGAGAGGTCAGTTTCACTAATGTACATACTTTTTGTATGTGAGGTTTGTGTGAAAATGTGTGACCCTGCCAAAGGAGTAGCTGGCCAGAGAACCATCGCTGTCCTTCTGCCTTGCCTTCTGGACAAAGGAATGATGAGTCCTGTGACAGAAGTTCGAGCTCTCAGGTGTGGATCAGTTGATAAAGTAAATGTATTGTTTTGACTTACAAATGGTGCTTGTTTGGATGTTAGCTTGTTAAAAACATGGATAAATAGATTGAGGAGAATCCATTGAGGTGACCCAAGCATTTATGAAAAATTGTGAGTCAGAATATTTTCATGGTAGCATTCTCATTAGGGAAACTTGTATGTTAGATGATAAGTAAAAGTTATTTAGTATTTTCAAAGTATGAAAATAGTGTTACACAGGCTCCAGTGACTCACATCTATAATCCTAGCTACTTGGGAGGCTGAGATTGGGAGGATTACAGTTCAAGGCAAGTAGTTTGGGAGACTCAATTTTAACCAATAGCTGAGTACAGTGGTATGGTCCTGTCATCCCAAGCTATGTGGGAGACTGAGATTGGGAAGACTGTTGTTCCAGGCTAGCCCAGGCTAAAGAGTTTTTGAGACCCCATCTCAATGGAAAAAAGCTGGGTGTGGTGGTATGTGCCTGTCATCTCTTCTTCAGCAGAAAATATAAAATAGGTGGATTGTGGTCCAGGCTGGCCTGGCCAAAAAAGTGAGACCCTGTCTCCAAAATAACCAGAGCAAAAAGGGGTGATGGTATGGTTTAAGCAGTAGAGTGCCTTTCTAGCAAATGTGACGCTCCGTGTTCAACCTCCAGTACTACCAAAAAAAAAAAAAAAAAAAGGAAAAGAAAAAAAAATGGTGTTATGATTATAGTAAAAAAGTATTTGTCACTTAGCAATACGTACTGATGTTTAGTTACAGGGTATATTTTCAGATAATTCAATGACATGGGGAAAATTGTGCCTGAATATATAAGGGAGAGGTGCAAATGAAATAAAATTGGACAAATGCTAATTATTAAAATAGATGTAGACTATAAGGAAAAGTGGCAAAGGAGGACCACACATGGTGGTATACACCTGTAATCTCACCTACTTGGGAGGCAGAGACATGAGGATTGCAGTTCAAGGACACCCTAGGTAAAAGTTAGACTGTTATCTCAAAAACAAGCCAGGTGTGATGGTGCACATCTGTAATCTCAGCTGCTTGGGAGGCAGAGGTAGGAGGATCACAGTTATTGGCCTGGACAAAAGCATGAGATCCTATCAGGAAAAAAAAAAAAAACTGAAATCAAAAGAACTAGGGGCATAGCTCAAGTGGTAGAATGCTTGCCTAGCAAGCTTGAGGCCCTGAGTTCAATTTCTAATACCCCTGCCTCCTCACAAAAAAAGTGCCAAAATACTGGAGGCCCTGGGTTCAGTCTGAAGCACTGTTTCCCCTCCCATCTTACCTCCCCCCCACCACCCTCCAAAAAAAATTGCCAGGACCAGGCTGTGTAAGCATGTGAGCGTGTGCCTGAACGCAATAAACTGCAGAAGAGCATCATGATTGGAATTGTAAGGCTTCTTATTTTTGGTAAAAGGATTTAGGAGTTGTATTCTGTGTCTATAGCATTAACACCCTTGTGAAGATCAGCAAAAGTGCAGGAGCCATGCTGAAACCACATGCACCAAAACTCATTCCAGCTTTGCTGGAATCCTTAAGTGTACTGGAGCCCCAAGTTCTCAATTATTTGAGCCTCCGGGCTACAGATCAAGAAAAGGTGAGTCAATAGCACAAGTATGTTGGTAAGTACTAGTGGAGGATGACCCTGTTAAGATATGACGTCCGTGTGAATAAACCTTTAGTGTCCTCAGACAGCTCCATGACTGGAATAACACTACCACTCCTGCACACTAGGTGCAGTAGTGTTCTGTTAGTTTAGGAGGAATGGGGAATTTGGCTCATACATTGTTTTGAGAATCATGTGGAAATGGACATCTTCACCTTAAAAATGCATTAGTATAAAATAAATTTCACAGTTTTTTGTATAGTTTTTTTTTTGGGGAATGGGGGAGAAATTTGTGTCCACATCTTTAGAGTTCTATGGACTAACCCCTGCCCTACAAGTAAAAAGGATTTGTACCTAGACTTTGACATAGTCCACATTACTCTACTTTTCAAATATATTGGTGCTTATCTTATCTTTGATCAGAGTTATGTTTTGAAAACTATATATGAAACATTTCCTGAGCAAAATGAAAACAACACAGAAAGATAGAAAGCAGTCTCTCTTAGGGCTCTCACTGCTGGCAGTTCTCCTGGTTCTTTTCTCAAATTCTTTTATAGTCATAGTCAACAAAATCAACCATACATACTAATTTTAAGATAGAATCAGACTGAATTTTGTTCTACTAATCACTGTTAAAAATTTAGCAGTACATAATGTCTATATCTAGATTTGTTTCATTCTTTTTAATGTGTGTGCATAGTATTCTATAGTCAGATGATTTTAATTTTTGTAGGAGAGGTTTTGTAACATTAAAGACTATGAATGTTCTTGTTTCTCCACATGTTTGCTAACATTGAATGCTACCAATCTGATAATCAGCATTCTTATGGTTCTGTTTTACGTTTTCTTGTACATGTGGTATCTGTTATATTTCCTTAATGTGTTAGCCATTTAGATTTCTTTTGTGCATTGTGTTTCTATTCCATGCCTGTTTTCTATTTGGATGGCTTTTTTTTTTAACCCTCCCCTCCTTTATTAGACCTGTTAAGCCCCTGTCATATACAATACATTTTCTCTGTTTGCCATTTGATTTTTAAGTTACCAAGCTACTCTAATAACTTACTCTTTTCCTCTAATACTGTGTTCTCCATTCATCATTCTTCCAGCAGTAGATCACCCACCACCATTCCCATAGAACATTTACTTGAATGAGGGTACATAAGTTCTGCTTCAAACCTTGTAGCTTTAGCCAGGTCACTTCAGTATGCCTGAATTCTTTCATTTATGTATTTATTTTCTCTGAGTAGTATTAACCTTTTGTCCAGTGTAGTTGACTAAAATACCATTGTAGATATGAAGCCTCATTACCCAGTTAAAGAACTAAAGGTATAAATTTTTATTACTTTGACACAAACTTTAAAAAAATTTAGTCTATACCTTTATTTAGTTGGATGGAACCTGGGGCTCAGGAAGGCTGGTTTGACTTGCTCAGGGTCATACAGTGTTAAATTTTTTTTTTTTTTTTTTTTTTTTTTTGTAATGCTGGGGATTGAACCCAGGGCCTTGCGCTTACTAAGCACACACACTACCACTGAACTGTACCCTCAATCCCCATTCTATGTTAATTTCTGACTATTGTCCGAATTTCTGACTATTGTCTGAATTTCTGACCCTTAGTGAAAAGCTACCTCTACAGGTAAATTGAGTGTGAATCAGAAGGAATTAAAATTAGAAATATATTTGACTTTGTTATAGATTATTTTTAAAAAGTATTTTAAAAAGTTTTAAAATAAGACCCTCTCATTGGAACTTTGCAACTGATTCTTAACTAATTGACTATCCTGAGTGACTTGAATTTGTTCTTCAGGCTGCGATGGATAGTGCTCGACTCAGTGCTGCCAGATCGTCTCCCATGATGGAAACAATCAACATGGTGAGTGTCTATATGTAGTGAGAAGAGTGTAAGTCTTCAGAGACTTCAGGCCACATTAAATGGATGGGACTGAAAGAATACGTCCAACTATTATGATTCCAATCTTTTCTTTTAAAATACTTATTTTTAAATTTTTAACTGATGCATAAAAATTGGACGTCTTTATGGTGGCTTTTTCTTAAAGTAATTTTTTTCTTCTGTGTTACTAAGTAAAGTAAATGTTCAAGTACTAGAATTAGTCTAAATTTGAGTTACAGGAGAGAACAACATATTAACAGATTCCTTTGTAAATATATGTCTACTTATCTTTTGGTCTGCCTGTTTAGAAAGGTTCAGAGCTTTTGGCCTCTGCCTGAGAGTTGCCTTTGGTAAGCTAGAGGTACTTAGTGAAGCGGATGGCACAGAAGGTAGGTGAAGGGAACTGAGCAGTGGTGAGATGTTTTAGGCTTAGGAAGGATTTGCAGTGAAGAGCCGCATGGCAATTTGAGGTTTTGAGTTCTAAAGTTCCTAGAGTTTTGGCAGAGTTAATTCTGCTGGACATTCCCTACAATGGTTAACTAAGAACTGGTGAGCTACTGGAAACTGTTTTGCTAAGCAGTTCACAAAGCTGGACAAGAGGAATTGTTATTCTGTTAATGCCTGCTAGAGAACTATTAGACCAAAATTTGATCTAAGGACATTGTATCTTAGTTGGGTTTTTGGGGAAAAGTAAAGTTTAAAGAAATAGGAATAGTTAGCAAATACCACATGGGTATGCTATTAGTAATAGAATATGTGCTTGCATTTTCAAAAATAGAGCAAACTGTAAGGGAATTTATGTAAAAAGTTGACTTATTATGGGGTGGTTTGGTAGGGTAGGCCCACTGAAGAAGGTCAGTTTTAATATCTGCTTTTACCTTAAACATGGATTAATAAAGAAGGAGTAGGCCTAGAGAGATCCTTTATTCTTGGCTAGTCATTATCTTCTCCTTTTGTAAATTGATGTTTTACACTATTTTTGTTTTGTTCTGTTTTTAATGTTAAGCTATTGGTGAATGTTTGTAGTAAAATAGTGGTTTAAATATTGAAATCAGAGCAAAATCAAACCAGTATTTTTTCACCATTCTGTCACATCTAGTGGATATATATTTGATACTGGGTAGGTTGTAATTAAAGGTGTGCTACTTCATTATTTGGTAAGGTTTGTCTTTATATTTATTCTTTTCCCAAAGTGCCTGCAATATCTTGATGTGTCGGTGCTGGGCGAACTAGTTCCAAGGTTATGTGAACTGATCAGAAGTGGTGTAGGTCTTGGAACTAAGGTAAGACAGTGTATTTTTCACAAAAGGAAATGTGTACCTTTGTTAGTCTTGGACACAAAAAATTGTGTTTGAAATTCATGTTTCTATAAAACCTAATATTTCCATTAAGCATTTTGTATTGCACTATGGTTACACTAATTACTGAATTGAAAATAAAACATGTAACCAATTTAAGAAATGCTGTATTACTTTTTTAGTGGAATCATTTCTGTTCCCTGGTTACCATATATGTGCCCTTGGGTTCTCCTTTATTGTCATTTGATGGAGATGCTCACCCTGTTGTCGGGGAGTGATTGTTTTAGGTTGTAATTAGAATTTTTCATAGACGGGTTAGCAGCTATGTGGATAGGAAAAATACCTTTGTGAGATCTTACAAGAATCAGACACCCACCTTAATTAATCTCCTTTTTTTTTTTTTTTTTGCTATTTTTTTGGAGACAGGTCTTGCTACTTATATATGGCCTCAAACTCTGTCTTCCTCCCTCAGTCTTGGGAGTGCTGAGATTACAGATGTGCACCACCATGCCCAGCTTTGTCCTGTTTTAAAACAACATATAGCTCACATTTTTTCTCATGACAAAATCAGTTGCTTTTAGCATTTATATAACGAGAAAGTTAAATGTAAAAATGATTATAATTTTGCCATACAGAGAAAACTCATTATATTTTGGATTCCCTCCAGTATATTTTCTGTGCCTATATCTTCTACAGTGTCTTCTGAAATGGCCATATAACATTCTTGTTGTATGGCTATAACATTATTTTAGTCCATCAAGAAGCATCTGACTATTTCAGGTTTTTATTTTATTGATTGATTGATTGATTATTCATATGTGCATACAATGCTTGGGTCATTTCTCCCCGCCTGCCCCCACCACCTCCCTCTCCCCCCCACCCCCTCAATACCCGGCAGAAACTATTTTGCCCTTATCTCTAATTTTGTTGAAGAGAGAGTATAAGCAATAATAGGAAGGAACAAGGGTTTTTGCTAGTTGAGGTAAGGATAGCTATACAGGGAGTTGACTGACATTAATTTCCTGTGCATGTGTGTTACCTTCTAGGTTAATTCTTTTTGATCTAACCTTTTCTCTAGTTCCTGGTCCCCTTCTCCTATTGGCCTCAGTTGACTATTTCAGTTTTAAAAGAAAAATTAAACAAAGCCCTGCGATGAATATGTTTGGACACATGAAAAGCTACTTCTTTGTTATTCACAGTGTCTGATTACTCATTTTCCTGCTGGAGGTCTTGGAAAAAGTTTCTGCAATTACTACTTTAAAATAAGTTTTCCTATTTCTAGATTGAGTCCTGGAGGGGCTGTTAGGCTTCATTTGTTTCATATTTTTTAAACAAATGGCTTGATAGACAGAACCTTGTGACCATCAGATTTAGACCTTTGCTTTTGTACCCCTGAAGGGAGGCTGTGCCAGTGTCATCGTGTCTTTAACTACTCAGTGTCCCCAGGACCTAACACCTTATTCAGGTGAGTTTGTTATATGATGTGTGAGGATTTAAAAAATTTTTTTGCCCTATCATGTGTGACAAAGTTTTAAAAGGAAAAATACCTAGATACGCTTATGCTTTTTTCCCCTCAAATCCCCTCGCCCAGTCTTTGATTGTAGGAGCTGTAGACTTCAGCAAGTTTTCACTGTCTTGCAAGTGTTTGATTATTGTTTCTTATGGAATAAGAGGCAAAAGCATCTCTTATTCTGTAGGACTTGTGGACCATTTATGGCTAATGCTTAATCTTTCTCTCTCTCCACATACACATACACACATGTTCATTCTCTCTCTCTCTCTCTTTCCCCACACACATACATATACACACTTTTTCTTTTTGTTGTAGTACTGGGCCTTACACATGCTAGGCAAGCACTCTACCACTTGAGCCTGCAGCCCAATAGTGAGCATGACATCAGCATTTCCCTCTTCTTAGGTTCCTAGGTGGGGCTAGTGAACTTTATGTATCTACTGTCATTTTTGCAACTTTACTCACAATATTCTAGACACAGATTAATCTGTAATTTTATATCAAGTGAAAGGAAGCAAAGTAGATAGTATAAACAATAACAATAAAGAAATCTAAACTAATATGGAGTAAATAAAATAATTAGTTACAGGTCTTAGTTTTTTTTTTTTTTTTCTTTTGATTTTGGGAATATAGAAGAACATTTGCTCAACCAAGTATCAGATTTTTATCATTTATTTCTGATAGGTAAACTTATGAGTGCTTTGCTTAGTGGTCTGACAGACCGGAACAGTGTGATTCAAAAATCCTGTGCATTTGCCATGGGCCATTTAGTTCGGGTGAGTAGAATTTCTTCTTTAGTTAAGTAAAACTCTTTGGTAATTATGAAGAAATAACTAGGATTGTTTCTTTTTCAGACCTCACGGGACAGCAGCACTGAAAAACTGCTGCAGAAGCTCAGTGGCTGGTACATGGAGAAAGAAGGTACCAGTCTTTTTCTGTTTTATGTCATCTTTAATTTAGATGTTAACCTAATAAAACAATACCTAATAAGGTCATAGAATTCTTACTCAGTGCCTTGCTAGAAACTTTTCTTTTTTTATTATTGTTGTGCTGGGGGTACATTGTGACATTTATAAAACTTCTTATAATATATCTTAGTTGAATTCACTCCACTATCATTCTCTTTTATCCCCCTTCCCATTCCTGCTAGAAACTTTTCTAATAGACTCTACAATTGTTTTGCATTGAGCAATAGGCTATTTAAATCAGTTACCCTAAGAAATAGTAAGTGTCATAAGAATTTTGGTTTCCTCCTCTTCAGAACCTCTCTATAAGACCTCCTGTGCTCTGACTATTCATGCCATTGGACGATACAGCCCTGATGTCCTGAAGAACCATGCCAAAGAAGTTCTGCCCTTGGCATTTCTAGGCATGCATGAAATTGCTGATGAGGAGAAATCTGAAAAAGAAGAATGTAACTTGTGGACTGAAGTGTGGCAGGAAAATGTACCTGGTTAGTAAATGGTACCTGTGAATCAACCTGTTTCTTAGGAAACCACAGCCAGAATATTTTACACACATTATTTATGCATATATTCCTCTATAGTTACCTTCCCAGGACTTTAAGTCCATCCATACATCTAAGTTCACAAGATTGGCACTCAGGGCTCTTTGACTTGTTGCTACCTATGTGAGAGAATATAAACTCTGCCCAGCAAAGCAGAGCTTTACTTAATGTTAGTTAAGAGTCTAACAGTAATTTTATGTTGCTTTAAAGTATTATCTTATAGTAGTATTTCTAGGATGTGTTTTTATCTTGATACATATTAGTGGATGATAACCATTTGCATGGCACCCTCCTGAGAATATAGTAAAGTTTATGAAGTCGGAGTATTGTAAAGAGAAGCCATATCCTCACTGTCTTCCCCTTTGAGAGAGACGTATTTGGACAGTTGAAAAATCACTGCTTTAAAAGACTGATGCCACTGACTTTATTCAGATTTAGAAAAATATTCATTTGGTTTTTCCTGTCACCTTGGTGTTTTAAACTTAGGTTCCTTTGGAGGCATTCGATTATACCTGCAGGAGTTGATCACCATTACACAGAAGGCTTTACAGTCTCAGTCCTGGAAAATGAAAGCCCAGGGTGCAATTGCCATGGCATCGATAGCAAAACAAACCAGCTCTTTGGTACCTCCCTATCTGGGAATGATTCTGAGTGCACTGCTTCAAGGCCTGGCTGGGAGAACATGGGCAGGAAAGGTAAAGGAAACACTCGTGCCCAGTTAAAGTGAAGGTATCCTTACAGGATTATGACTTCCTCTTTCATTTTCTGTAAAAATAAGAATCTGGTTTTGTGACTTCAGGTAGATTATTTTGCAAGCCAGATTTCCTAGACAGTGGGTGACTTTGAGTAAACTTTGCCTGTTTATCTGTGACATTTCATCTCAAAGTGTGGCCCAGTGTCCATGAATAATGCATAGTAATGCTGGAGATTAAATGTGTGCATATTCAGCCTTACAAGTTACTTCTTAAACCACGTTACTGCCATTTTGGACCTTTGACTTTGTAAATAGGTCGGATTGATGAGATGTGAAATTGAGTAGCAGGGAAAGCTGCTTCTTATCCTGGGGCTGAAAATGTGAATTAGAAAGTGTTGTTTTTGTTTGTTTGTGTTTTTTGGCTGTACTGGGCTTTGAATTTAGGATCTCATGCTTGCTAGACAGGCTTTACAACTTCAGCCACACCTCCAGCCCATTTTGCTTTAGTTATTTTTTAGATAGGGTTTTGCATTTTGCCCGGGCTGGCCTGGACTTTGATTCTCTTACTTATGCTTCCTGTGTAGCCAGGCTGCGAGGCATGTGCTACCGTGCTCAGCTTCTTTGTTAAGGTGGTGGTGGGGGGAGGGGGCTCACTAACTTTTTCCCTGAGCTTGCCTTGAACCACAGTCCTACTGATCTCTGCCTCCCAAGTAACTGTGACTACAGGCGTTAGCCACACAACCTGGCCAGAAAGTATTTTTTACATAATGGCTGTAGTAAGATGTGTACAGTGAGCACTCAGTGGGGAGTCTGGGATTGTGACAGTGTGTATTGAGCTGCTATATTTTGTGAAGGTCAGTAATGGCCCATACAGTGTTGTGTAAGTAGTACTAGATTGGGAGTCAGATGTAATTCTGATTGATACTCCTGCCATGTGACCTTGGTCACATCATTTCTCAGGTCTTTATAATGGAGATGAAGATAACTCACGGTTTGGAGTAAAAGTCGGTGGATGTGCCTATAACAGTGAAGTGCATTAATGATAAGATGAATCTTACTGATTTTTGTTGTCACCATTATGAAATATTCCTGAGGAAATTACAGTCATAGTGTAGAGAACGTGACAAGTGTGGGCTTAATAGTGTTCCCTCATCTTTCAACCCTTCAGGAAGAACTACTGAAAGCCATTGCCTGTGTGGTGACAGCTTGCAGGTAAATGTTCTTTGACAGAAGATGCCATTTCTTAACTGGAAACTTAAAGCACAGTCTTTATTAACTGTTCTGATGCTTTTGTGTGGATCTGTAGTGCAGAACTGCAAAAGTCTGTGCCCAATCAACCCAGCACAAATGAAATTCTTCAGGCTGTTTTGAAGGAGTGTTGTAAAGAGAATCTGAAATACAAGATTGTAGCAATCAGCTGTGCAGCTGATGTCTTGAAGGCCACCAAAGAAGACAGGTTCCAGGAGTTTTCTGACATTGTCATACCTCTCATCAAGAAGGTAATGACCACCTGTGTCCTCTCAGGTCTGGTTTATCCTTAAAAAAAATTAAAAAGATTTTCCAGTATTTTGATCACTTGTTTTATTAGGATTGTTTAGCAGAAAATCCCAAAATATCACAGCTTCAAGCAAGATAGAAATTGTCTCCCACTTAATAGTTGGGAGCCCCACAGTCTTCAGTGATGCTGGCTCTTTATAAGCTCCCAACTGCCGTCCCCAGTGAGTGTCCATCATCTTCCTGATCCCAAGAGGAGATGAAGGAAGGGAAAGAGATCACAGTGCTAATGTTGCCTGTCTTAACAAATGTTCTGGAAACTGCTACGTGGCACTTACAGTTATGCCCCACTGGCCAGTACTTATAATAACCTCATAGGCACACCTGGCAGATGAGGCTAGGAAAAATAGTCTTGTCTGGACGTTTATTTTCTCTCCAGAGGAGGAGAAGAGAGTAGGTTCATAGTGAATGAACAGTTTGTGTCATAATTAGCTTTGCCTTGCAAGCATCCCAGAGTGAAGGAGCCCCAGGTGTCACATGGATTATCTCTGCAGTACACTGGAGGATTTAGATTAAAAAAAAAAAAAAAGGCAACTTTGGTTTCATTTGGAAAATGGAGTAATCATTTTCCAAAGTTTGGATACAGAAATGAAAAGAAAGAGAGGTGCAGCTTACCTATTTGTGGGCATGATATATTTTAAATAATCTTTCTTGTGTTCCTAATTTATAGTTGTTTTCTGTGGTAATAAGGCTGCTTTAAGTAATTCACATCATGTACATAATGTAGTGTACAGATTTGTGAGACTTGTGTTTTAAATAGATTATGTCACCAGCTAGATGGTTGAATTACTTCTAGCTTGTTTCCTAATGGATCAAGAAAGAGTTTGCATTTGGATCATTACCGAGTTCCTTCTGTTCTTAAATTTTTTATTCAAATGCAGATCTCTTTTTTTTGTTGTGCTGAAAATACTACATCTACAGTATTTTTTTCCACTTCTGTTTACATAATTATTTTACAGTATTTCCCAAATTTATTAGAGATGTGTATTCCTATTACAGATTCTTATTAAAAATAGGAAAACTCATGGTAGAGAACTTAGCATTTAGTTCTCACTCAACATCTCCATTCTGGTACCCTGATTGCTTTTATAGGATACTTGTAACTTTGAAGAACAAAATACTAACTTTTGCTTTACTTTTTCTTTAATAATGTCCTAGAACTCACTTGAAAGCATGGGGGTTCGGACAACTAAAACTGAAGATGAAAATGAGAAGGAAAGGGAGCTGCAGCTGGAGTCTCTGCTGGGTGCCTTCGAGAGCCTGGGCAAAGCCTGGCCTCGGAACGTGGAAACCCAACGTAAGCACCAGAACTGCATTTGAAGAAGTGCCATAACCAGAGGTCACTCAGTGAGAACACAGATTTTCTGTATAGCATATTACTGTTTCTTACAAAGCCTGATTGATAAACAGTGAGAATTATCCAATATAAATTTTACTCTTGCAGCAGCAAATCTCATTGATCGTTACAGTTTTTAATTAGGTCTGCCTTAACAAAGTATCACAGACTGGTTGGGTTAAAAAACAGATATTTATTTTCTTACAGTTCTGGAGGTAGAAGTCTGAAATCAAGGTGTCAGCAGTTTTATTTCTTCTGAGACTTCTCTCCTTGGCTTGTGAAGGGCTGACAGTCTTCCCTCTGTGTCTCTCTGTCCTGTTCTTGTAAAGAATCCAGCCAGCCATATTGGATTAGTATTAGATTAGCACCCACCCATCTGACCTCTTTCGTAACTTTTTTGTGGGGAGGGAGTGGTACTTGGGGCTTGAACTCAGGGCATCACACTTGCTAGACAGGTGTTCTACCACCTGAGCTGTTCCACCAGCCCCCATCTGACTTCTTTAAAGACCATACTCTTCTAGTACAGTTACTTTCTAAGGTATGGGGAGTTGGGACTTCAGCATAGGATTTTGGGGCTATAACAACCATGATACATTTTATGTAAGTAGTTTTTGGGTATGAAAAGAACTGTTAACTCTTCTTTGTGATCCTAACTCTGTTCTGAGTAATCCACAAAATTTAATAATGTAGTCTTCATCTCAAAATCAGTGGCCTGTTGTCTTCAGTTAGGAAATGAAATGTACTTCACTGAGAAACTCATGAATAAGAAATGTTCAGAGCTGTACATATTTTCAGAGGATTAGATAAATTGTAACCCTGGATTGTTGGATCAGGTTGTAGTTTGAAGTTCTTTCACAAGGCCTTAAACCTCGTTTAAAGTTTGCGGTTCAAGGCCAGCCTGGGCAAAAAAATCACAAAACCCCATCTCACCGATGGCTGCGCACAATAGCTGGGCATCCCTGCCATCCTAGCTAAGTGGGGAAGCACAAATATGAGGATTGAGGTCCAGGCTGGCCCCAGCTTAATACAAGACTCTGTCTCAAAAATAACCAAAGCAAAAAGGGCTGGCCTAGCAAATATAGGGCACTTGAGTTACCCTCAGTATAGCCAAAAAAGAAAGAAAATAAACAGTATTTTGTTCATTATTTATGATTTGTACATCTTAAATCAGACTTTAGGTTTTCTTTGAGCATTTTTTTTTTCCTTTGGTGGTCACACTTGCTAGGCAGTTGCTCTACTGCTTAAGCCACTCCAGTAGCCCTAGAGCATGTTCTTGATGTGAACTTGCTACATATACAGCATACTTGCTATATGTAGGAACGATTTCCTAGAACATACTGTACAAAATATGTGAGTTGTGTTATGGACTGTAGTGGAAATCTACATCTTTAGGACTACTAACCTTTGGTCAATAGTTAAAGTTCAAGGGAAGTACTTAAAAATATGACAAACAGAAGGAGTTTATTTGAACATAAGACATAAAAATGTACAAAGCTTTCATTTGAGAATTTACTGTTACACACTAGTTATATACATCTTACTCATAATGTATCATCTGCAATTTCTGTGATTTTTTTTTCTTTAAAGAAATTACATTTATGAAGCAATTTTAGTGCAAAATTCTAAATTTTTACTCTTCTCCTTGTTTTCACATTTAAGTACTATTAAATTCTACGTCCTTTAAAAATAATTCCTTTGTTGAATTTTATATTCCTGATTAATCCCTTAGTATGATACTATTTATATAGTTATAATAACATTTGTAGCTGGCACAACTGGTTTGTTACAAAGGACTGTTGACTCTTGGTAAACCTACAGTTGTCAAAAGCTTGTGAGCCTCTAGAGGGAGCTCAAGAGTCCTGTTTTCTTTGGAGTCATTTACGTGTTTTAAAAGGAAAGGGGAACATTGTTAAGTTGCTGTCTCAGTTCCATGGAGAATGAAATGCTTTGAAAGCAAACACTTAGGAAGCATTAGATATACCTTTGTGGGTAGAAGATCTGATCAAGGAAATTTGTTTGGAAATTGGATAGCACATCATGCTGAAGGTTTGGAGGAAATTTCATGTCTTTAATTAAAGGGATTTATTGTCCCCCTCCCTGCACTTTTTTCTTTCTTCTTTTCCCCTATCCTCTCTCTCTTGATCACACGCTTCACCCCTCCTCCCCTTTGCACATGTTCATTCTTTCTACTCTTCTCTGTCCCTCATTTGTTTTTTTCATTCCTTCACTCTTTCCTCTTCCACTGTTTTTTTGCAGGTTGTTATCGTCAGGAACTGTGCAAGTTGATGTGTGAACGACTAAGACTCAGCACATGGAAAGTGCAGTTAGGCATCCTGCAGTCAATGAATGCCTTTTTTCAGGGGTAATTTGCTTCATGATCTGGTTTTATATTTTGCCTCCCCCCCTCGCCCAGTAGCATTCTATATATAATCAGCAGAATTCATATATATTTTCAAACTAGTAGCTAAAATGACATGATAAAGTAGCACACACAGAAATTGTTGCCACGGGAAGGTGTTTAAGTGGTTCTTCATAAGTCACATTCTTACGCTGTTTTTGACTCATATAGGTTAATGCTTTTGGAAGAAGAACACGCGGATCCTGAGGCTCTGGCTGAAATTCTCCTTGACACATGTAAATCAGTCACATATTCTTTAGGTGAGTACAGTAACCTGAAATTGACAAAGTAGTCCTGAATTTTCTTTTTTGCCACGATGGGGATTGAACCCAGGGCTTCACACATGCCAGTCAGGTCTTGCATCACAGAACCACATTCCCAGCACTCTGTCCTTTGAGACAGGGTCTCTGTGTTGTTCAGGACTCAAATTTTTGATCCTCTTGCTTCAGCCTCCTAAGTAAGTAGCTGGGTTACTTATAGGTGTGTGTCACTGCTGCTGACCTAAGTAGTCCGAATTTTAAAGCTAAGGAACTGAGCCTCAAGTGTCCCCTTCCTTTTCTCCGGGGCAACTGTTGAACTATTCTACTTACACACTTCATGTGTCCCCTAAACTGGAATATTTTAATCCGAATTTATTATAGATTTTATCACCTAGACTTGACCTTTGAGACAAATATTTAAAAAAATTTTACTAAGAAGTAACTTCAAACTTATGGAACAGTTACTACAATAATTCATATAATATCTGTATACACTTTACTCAGTCTTCGGTTAACATTTTATCCCATTTTCCTTTAGACCTCTACATACATGTCTTTTTCTGAACCACTTGAACATCGTGGCCCTTTATTCTTAAACTTTTCAATTCACATTCTTATTAACCACAGTATAGTTATTACATTTAGATATATGGATGCAGTATTTTCTTATCAAATTCTTACCATTCATATTTCTAACTGTTTCAATTAAATTAGTAATGTTCTTTATGGGATCCCCTTGCCCCTCCATTAAGGAGTACAGTCCAGGATCATTTATTAAATTTAGTTGTTATATCTTTTTAGTCTTCTTTAATGTGGAACACTTTTTCTGCATTTTTTTGCTTGTGTATGACATTGATGATTTTGAGGAATAAAATCTCCTCTACTTCCCTATTTGAAAAATAGAATGTTACATATTTGTCATTTCACATTTCCTCGTGATTAGATCCAGTTTATGAATTCCCAGTTGGGACATTACATAGATGATGTGTTTTTCCTTACATCAAGAGGCACACAGTATTTTATCTTCCCTGATTCGTGATGCTGACTTTGATTACTATTGATTTTTTTCTGTTGTGTAGTTGTTTGTATCCTTGTGTTTAATAAGCAGCCTGTAGGAACATACTTTAAGACCATTCAAATTATCTGTTCTTTGAAACTGCATCTAGTGAACAGTCTGTGAGAAGACACTATAAGAACATGCAAATACCTTTTCTTCTTCAAACTTCTAGAGTTAGCATGCATTGGTGATTCTTCCCTGAAGCAGTTTTTCTAAGATGATTTTTCAACTCTCGCAGTTTCTCTGCATGTACGAGAATGCTAGTTGGTATTCTGTTGTCAGCAAGATTCTTCTCCTCTCCCTATCTTTTTGTCTATTAGTTTCATGAATTCCTTCTGTTCCCCCACCTTCCGATGGTTTGTAATGAATTGTTTTTCTTAATTTGTTACTCAGATTGTCCCAGATTTGGCTAGTGGAATCTCCTTCAAAGATGATGACCTTTTGGCAGGTTGCCATCATTCTTTGTAGTACTTCCTTCCTTACCGTGGGCTTAGTGATATGTCATTGTTTTTGGTAGACAATTTCACTGTAAACTCGATGCTATGACAAAAAGTAGATTCCTGTGAAGTGTGTTTTAGTTGCAGGCCTTGGAGATAGCATGCTTTTTTTATGAATAGAAAGCTGGTAGCTAACAAATGTGTCTTTGCAGGGTTCTAGGTATCCCTGTGTTGGCCCAAATGCTAGGTTACACAGTGTTCATTGGTAAAATGAGGAGGGTCATGGGAAGATAACTGTGTGTTTCAGACAGTGTCTTTTGATCTTCCACATCTAAAATGGGTCCCTTAACTATTACCATTTGTTGTGGTGATTGGGTATAATTTGGTTGACAGTCCACCTAGCCCCCCGAAGCTGAACATGTAGTACATTTCAAATATTTGATGATAATTGGTAAGGGAAATCTTTCTTTAAAAAAAAGCAGCAAAACAGCCAGATGTATCTTTTCATGAAGTTATAATTTCTGAACATCTTTCTTTCAATAACAATTTAATCTTAGAAGCTCTGTCTTTAAGGCATATGTATGAACTGTATGATTTTCTTCTTAGAAAATAAGACCTACTCATCTGTGAGAACAGAAGCTTTATCTGTGATAGAATTACTGCTTAAAAAACTTGAAGGTGAGTTCTTGATAGCTCTAATTGGAGGACCAGCAATCCAGGACACTTTATGGCATATGTTTTAGAAGATTTTTGTTTTCTGCTTTGCTTCTACTTTAAAATACAAATTAATAAATTAACATGCAAATAAAATATATAAAGCTAAAACCATGAAAATTTGAGCATTTAAATTTTGTACTCAGTTGATTACCTGTAGTTAATTAGTAAGTTATAGTTATAATAAAATTTTTGTTTGCTTTGTGAATTCCGATTTAATATTGGATAATTACAGGAAGTAATTGGACATGTATAGTACAACTCACTGTGTACATTCACCAGCAGTGTATTTGTTGCTGGCTTCAGAATGAGGCCTATTTTCTTTTCCCTCTTCTTCTTTTTTTTTTTTTTTTTAATTTTAATCCCATGGATTAAGAATGTAGTAGATACAACAGTTTTCTCCACAACTGTATTTGCTCTTTCTACTTTTCTCTTTTTCTTGCTTAGTAATTAAAATACCTTTCTTATGTCTCCATCGAGCAGGCTGGCAATGCCAAACATCACATAATCCCTTTTTTACCTTTTGAAATAAAAGAGCCAGGCACTTAGCCATGTTACTGAGTTCTCATTTTGCCAGTATGTACTTTACGTGTCTTAGGTGAGGGAAGTTAGGTGAATGGCTAAATAACATGCTTAAAGCCATATCACTAGAAAGGGTCAGCCTTATAAATAAGATTTGATGTAGTTTCTTATTTTTAAACTTTCAGTATGTAAATAGTTCTTAAATGCTTTCTTTAACCAAAAAAGTAATAGTGTTATCTACTTAAACTGACACTGTGATTATGAAAGTTTTTCAGTTTTTTTTTTAACTGAGCATATTTTTTTTTACTGGCTTTTTGTCATTACTGTTGAAATGACTGTTTTGCTGGTGTGTGCCTTGCCCTCATACCTCCTGGACAGTCCTTCCCTTTTTGCTGACTGTAGTTCATGTCTCTTTGTTCCCACTATAGATGTGAGAAGGAGGGGATCTTCCCACCAATGTGCTTTCAGGCTATTGTCAATAACTGAGTTTTGAGACACGTATTGAACCTGTAATTATTATATACTGCTCTGTTAATCAAGGGGCTACTTTATGGTTATTTGGGGTGGGGGAGTGGTTTTCTTTATTTGTCTTATTCTATTAAGGATTCTTCTTTTTTTTTTTTTTTTCTCATTTAGAATCTAAACAGTGGGAAAGTTTGACATCTGAATGCAGAATGCTCCTGATTGAGTCTTTGGCCACTATGGAGACAGACAGCAGACCTGAGCTGCAGGAGAAAGCATCATTACTGAAGAAAACACTTGAAAATCTGGAGTAAATGAGAAGGGGAAGAATCAAACAAGTGCCATGTTTATTGGGGGTTGAAATGGTGGATTTTCTTTAAAAAAAACCAAGTGGGGAAAAGTAAAGATTAATCTGTAGCATGCATCATTCCTTGGCTGAAATAAAAAAAAAAAGCCTTAAATATTGTTCCTTATTAGTGTTCTTTCACTTCATATTTTTAAAGTACATGGGCTAAGTGAGCTTAATATAGAACCTTCGGTGTTTGAGAGGTGGGTGTAAGAATGGCAGCGAAGTTAAGAGAATTAAAACTGTTACATAAAAAGAATTCATAGACAAAATGGCAGGGAAGGTTGGATAAAAATCTTAGAACTACATCCAAGCCAAAGTTATTTTAGGAGAGGACCCTATATACATACATACATACATGTATGTATGTATGTATGTATGTATATATATATATCACTTAGTTTAACCCCTTCTTTTATACCTGAAGAAATAGGCTTGGAAATGACACATCTTCCTTTCTGAGGCCCGTGCCAAGGCCAGACCCAGGTGTTTAATGTGTCCAACCTGCTGCCAAATCAGTGCTCACCCCAGAAACTCCCAAGATGAGGTACATTTAGGGTGGCATACAACACTCCTTCTTTCAGAACTAGACTGCCTCTTAGCTTCGAGTTCTTGAAGGTTAAAAGCTGAGCCTTTCATGTGGTAAACTTGTTTACATCTTTACAGGTTGAAAGGATAAATTTGATATCTATAGAATTCTGATTGAAGTCCTTTTTCAGGAAGATGAAGATAAACTGGGATAAGATTGTTCGTTCTGTGTCTTTTGCTATATATTTTATAAAACCAAACCCATCAAAAACGAAACAGCAGACTGCCTTGGTTGTCTAAGCATTTATAAGCTTAAAACTGTAATTTTCTACTCACTTTTATGCTAAAAATATGACTTTGTAGGGCAAAAAGAAAGCCTTTTAATTAACTATCTGGGGATTACTCTTTTTTATTGTGTCTTCTCAAAATAACATGCTACTGCAAGTAAATAATTGTAGCCAGAATTTTGTTTTCTTCCTTCTGCTGCTTATGCACCTGTCAGAGGGTATAGGAAAGGTTTAACCTAAGTGTTTATGGTAAGCTGAGAACTCGCTACCTTGACTTGGATTCCAGAGCACAAGATTGACCTACATTCAGTACCACCCCTTTATTGACATGAATTGGGAAAGCCATATTTGCTTTTTTTGGTGGAAACTCCATGTTTACTAGTTTTGGTAGTCTCCATTGATCAGTGTATTTCAAACTTTTTTGACTATGACTCATACATAATAAAAATAACTTTTTATATCATGCAGAATGTGTGTGTATGTGTGCATGTGTGCATGTGTGTCTGTTTATGTACATATCTTTAATTGAAATAAATGTTTGGTGAAATAATTCATCGTTGCTCCATGGGATGCACTTTGATCTCTTTATGCCTTTTTCTGCTGTAAGTGTCCTTCAGCCCCACTAAATTTATTTCCTGACTCGCTGATACCTTGCGTGTAGTTACTCCTCACAGTTTGAAAAACAGTAGTAACTAAACTTGCCTGTATATGCTGTGTTTAGGATTTCTTCTGATTGGAAAAGGGTTTATAAATAAAAATTTCAGTGTTTTTTATCAAAACCTTCTGCTGATGCTCAAATATAGCTGTGAGTTTTCATAGTTTTGTGAATTTTAAGAAACCTATCATGGGCATGGATTTGAGAATGGCTTTTGATTAGAGAAAACAAATATTAACTTTGAATGTTCTTCAGAAGGCTGTGGCCTCTAAAGACTTGGTGTTTAAGATCAGTGTTTCCTTCCACTAAGGGCCTTGCAACTCTCACGGTGCCCAGGCAGGTCAGGTATGTGCAGAAAGTGGGCACCTGAGGGCAAGAATTGTGAATTTGGTCTCCATATATAGGCAAGTGATGAAACTGCATCAAATTTTGTGCTTTTTATGCTTTTTGTTATTTAATACTGGGAATTTTCTTTGGTGCTGAAAGTGGTGCTAAGACACTCAACCCTTAGTGCTGTTGAGTTACATTCTTTTTAGCTTCCTAATCACATTTCTAATTTTACATTCTAAATGCCTTCATTATGAATAGCCAAATCATTTATACAACTTGTAATACTAAGTTACTGTTTTACAATGCAGCTTATACTTGGTGTGCACACATTTATTTAAAAGGCTTAATAACTAAGAGTTTGTAATGATGGAATATTGATATTGGTGAACAAGTGGCAAAAGAATCCATGCATGTATAGATACCAGGCTTTACTAAATCTCGAGCAGATTTTGATGATTTTTCTTCCTACAAATACTCAGTGCTACTTGTCACACAAGCGAGTGATTTGTAGAATCTGCTACTGAACTCTATTGCTGGCATTAGTATACTAGTTATATCTTCCCAAATTTATGCATAGGTGAAAAGAAAATGCCTGAAATTTAATGGCTGGAAAAAACCATGAAATTGGTGTACAATTATGTTTTGGTAATGAAAAGCAGTTGATTCTGTGAAAATTTATAGTTTACAGTTCAGGGTATCTGCCTGTAACACAGTTTACCTGTACAAGAGTGCCACCAAGTCCCTATTGCCTCGCTTTTTCATCTTTTACCTATGTGTTTGCTAACAAGAAAAAGAAGAATTAAACCTATGGCTTCATTGGTCTGTGGTCTAGTAGCAGTTGAATGGTGTGAGCCCTGCTCTTTGTGGGACATTGGTACCTGCTGCTGTCACAGTATATTCATGCTGCTTGTTGAGTTCAGGGAGTTCTGTTGACATTGGCACTCACTGTAAATTAAATAGGTATATGAAACACATTTTTGTATTTCATATGCAAGGTGTTCACAGAGCGCGTTGCAGTGTATATTCAGCTAACTAAGCATGTGGTAGACTTATCTGATAGGATCCCTCCTTTTCCCAAGAAGATACTAAATGGTAAGCAAAAGCTGCATGGCCTCTTCTTTTGAAGTGATGGATGAATTTTTGCCTGTTTTCTAGGAAAATAGTCCAACTACTAAGGTGTTGACTAGTTATCCTTTAAAAAATTTTTGTATGCCCACTAGTGAGTAGAAATATAGGCTTAAGTATCTGGGAGTTACAAGGCAAAGCAGAAACAAGACATCCTGAACTACTGTTGCCAGATTTTGAATAAAAGTTGTTATTGGAAGATGATTTTCTGGTAAAATTAATTCCACAAGTATATAGAAACAATAGGTAGTTCTCATTTTGACCAAGATTAGTATACTGGGCAAATGTCAGAGGTAAAGACACTGCCTGTACTGTAAACTGCCAAACAAAGGTAAGGTATGGAAGATGGGTGTGAAGGTGAGAGTTGCCTTGCTTTCCTGGTAGCAACTAAGAAACCTAAGGTGCTCCTTCCATGCTTTTCTTACTCTTCATGCAGGGGGTGAAAATTGCTTTTTGAAGTGGGGAATGTTTTAAGTAGGAGTGTTACAAAATAGCCTTTCAAATGATGTTTGTGGAAAGTTTTTACTTTTTTGTTGTCATTTTTGGTGCAACTGGAGTTTGAACTCAGGGCTTCACGCTTGCAATGCAAGTGCTGTATCACTTGAGCCATACCTCCCAGAGTTTCTTTACTTTTAAAGAAGTAGCATTGCTAAAGCCTTTGTTAAAAAATGCAAAGAACAGTGCGGAAACATCCAATATTAACACCATTTTTGTTTGGATATTTCTGAAACGAGTAATTTAAAACCAATTTTGAGTATTAGTGGTTAGATATCTAATTCTGTTATGTTACAGTCTTCAAATGCAAAATATTTTCTGAGCATTAGTTGAGATTTTTAAGAGTGTCATTTCTTCAGGTTTCTAGCCTTCAAGATTTCCAATGTGACATCTGTGGTCATTCACGTTGATGTCGCTGTGGATGTTGTGTGATCTTTTCATTTGTTTTCATAAAGTTTGGATTTTAGCACTTTTAACTATAATGTGCCTCAGTGTGCTTCTCTTTGTTTTTGTCCTGTTAGAGAATTGCTTAAGACTTTTGACTTAAGAGATTTATGCATTTCACCAATTTTTTGGAGGGGTGTTGGCCATTGTTTGTCAAGTATATTCTTTTCGTGCCATACTCTCCTCCCTTCCTTTCTGAAACTGCAGTTAAATTTGTGTTAGATCATTTGTTATTCTTCAGCTTTGAGTTATTTAACAGAAATCAATCTTTAAGTTCACTGACTTTCTTTACGATGGCCATTCTGATACTAAAGCCTTTCCAGTGAACTTATATTTAAGGTATTTTAATTTTTCTAGTATTTAGTTCTTTTACATATTTTTATTCTATTTTCATTCTTTTGTTAACATATTTTTGAAGCTTCATAGGTCATAACTCTAATCACTGCATTTAAGTTCATGTCTGATCTATACATCTGGGATCATCTTGGGTTTGATCATTGTTTATCGCATTCCTCCTAATCCCACTGTTTCCTCAGATATCCAGTTTTGGGGATTGTATCCTGTACCTTGAGAATGTTATATTGTAGAGACTCTAGACTATTTCTCTAAAGAATTTATTTATTTATTATTTTTTTAGCAGGCAGTTAACATGGCTTAACTCTGACCACAAATTATCACCACACCTTTGGTCATGGCAGGCAGTTCAGATCCCATTTTTTTTTTCCCCCCTTATCTGAGTTGTTTGCTATCTTCTCTGAAGATAGGTGGTTCAGAAGTCAGTTAGAGACTTCCACAGAGTTCCACATAGAAACTCTGGTTCCTTTTCTCATCCTCTTTTCTTTCCAGAATTTTTCCCTCATTTCCTTTGCCTTTCTCAAGTCAGAGTGATTCTCCCACAGTGTGCCACTTGCCACACTTGGTCTATGCCTCTTGTCCTTAGTACAAAGCCCTAAAGTCAGGAAACTCACTCTGTGCCTTCCATGTTTTGGTCCTCTAAATCTGCCTCTTCAGAGGCTTAGAAAATTGGTGGTGGTGTTTGTTTTTTGTATTTTGTCCAGTCTTTATAGTTCCTATACACATCAGTCTCCTGGGAAGTTACTTTACCATGTCAAAAGTAGAATTTGAGAATACAGAACTAGGATTCCAAGATGGTGGCTAGAGGGAGGAAGCAGAAAGCATGCCTCCTACAGTGAAATCTTGGAGAGATGCTGGAGACACACCTTGCAGGCAAGGCCACCGAGAAGAGGCAAA